TGCGGCGCATCGTCACATCGCCACATCGGCTTCGTATCGGTTACCGGCGGTGTAAACGCTTACTGCTCACCTATCGCTTATCAAGGCAACATAAAGTCTGCGTTGCTTCTGAACAACTGTTGTTATTGTAGTTGTTGCTGACTTCATTGACTCCGCAGCATTTTACTCTAAGCGACGGTTGTTATGCTGTTAGTTGCCTTGTCTACTCATAAGCGCCGGCTTTTTGTTGTTACTTCTCTATTGTTGCTGTACTTATTGACCGCACTGTGCATAACCAATGGCTATTGCTGCAAGTCTTTAGTGTTTCAGTAATTTTCGTTCGAAAAATTGAACTTTTTTTGACGAAAAAATATGCAAAAAAGCAACAACAAATCCGAAAGCAAAAAAAAAACAAGGAAAAAAAAGCAACAAGAATAACGAAAAAAGTTGTCTGAATTCTTTGAAGCGAGAAAATTGCTTTCACCGCATCACAACTAATTTGGGCAGAGTTGGTGCTTTTTAGGTGGTGTGATGATACTTGTTAGTTGTTTGTGCGTACACATATACATATACATTTGCATATGAAGCCAAGAAGTGTTAAGAAATATGTAGTTACTTATGTAAGCAGACATTTCTTATCGGAAGTACCCAATTTATTTTATAATTAATAAAGATATCCTTAGATTCCGTTTTGTATGGCATTCTGAAGCCGTAATTACATATATGACTTTGACGACAATCGGTCGTCGTATTAAGACTCCATTCGCCGAGTCATCGTGAATTAACTACTTAGAAATCCTTGTCATACTGATAAAACATGTCAGATTTAAAGATGTTATATATCAGTATTTGTCTTATTGGCTTTACATCGTCTGAACATGGTTTTGACCAGATCTTCAATAGCATACCAGATCTGTACCTGGAAGCTGAAAACTCAATTGGACATGCTATTGGTATTAACTTGATTTAAACATAATTGAAGAATTTTGCTGTCATCAATAAGTCTCTACAGCTAATAGCCCCATTTTGTATAAAATTCAGGGTTGCCAATGTGTAAAAAATGATGTCTGCCATAGAATCTTAGGATAGGCCTGATGACAGGCCACTTCACCATAGTCAGTTCTATGTAGAAATAGATACAGCTTTTTATCAGTGCGAGAGCTGTCAACTTATCAAATATTACAAAAATAATTAAAATAAATTTTTATGACAATACAACAACAGTAGCAATGGGCGTGATGAGAGTTGAGTGGGAAGTGAGTGTTTTGTGATTTGCAGAAATTTTCTCAACTGTCATCTCATCCATAGAAGCGCTGTTTGACAAAAATGACACTCAACCGACAGAACTAATTGCTATCTTGAGGTTATCATTAACGACAGTAACATAAGAACGATAAAAATGGCTCGCCCTTTGTGAAAAATACATAAAATATAAATGCATCTTATTGAGCCAATAAAACAAAAAGACTCGTAGAGAAGAGTTGTAAGACACCACCGGCGAGTACACGATGATTACCGCTTTTGAAATAATAATTTCTCAATTTATAAAATATTAAGTATATAATTTATATTTATATATAATTTTTTTTTTGCATACAGCAAAGTGTATATTAATTTTGTTATAACCAACTGTACAAATATGTACTTAATGAGTTTAGCTTTTGGGTAGTTAAATAATATACCTAAAGGGCAAAATTATGAATAAAATCCGTAAAACCGAAAAGTAGTTAATAATTGCTAATTATCTCCAAAGGGTAAGACCAACTTTCTCCAATTCTTGCATATACTTATTTTCATCGTCTGACAGTAGGCGAACCATCATAAGACGTCGGCCCTGTGGGATAAAAATAATATGAAAATGAAAAAGAGCAGCAAATTTTCGGGTTCTGTGTAAAAAGTCACTACTAAGCCATATTATTTTTTTCAAAATCTGTATTAGTCACCTGAATATGCAACATTTGAGCGCCAATTAAATTTAACTTAATTGGATAAATGAATTTGTCAATGCCGGTCGGTGGTATGCCTTTTGGCACGGAAAGCATGGGTTCTTCCAAAATTTTCTGGTCACTTTGTAGAAGGATGAAGAGTTAAACTGTTTTTTTTAATAAAAAATATCGCTGAAAATAAGCTTACATGGCCTGGAACTGTTGTGCGGTGTCAGCCATTTCAAGTTGTTTTTACTATTTTAGGTGAATATCCAGATTTATATTAAATAAAAAGCAAGGTTCTCCAATAATAAATTGCTTAAACTGTTTTTGTTAACAAAAAAAAAAACACGTAGACAGAAATATTTCGTTAAATATATTAATGTACAATAATAAATTCGATGACATGAAACTGCTCGAATGAAATGTTATAGAAATATAAATGAAAAACAAAACTAAATAAAAATATAATATATTACTGTAAACGCTATTGTGAATGACAGTTATTTTTTTGGAATTTCTTTCGTAATAGGGATGATGTTTTGTATTTTCGGTATCTAAGCCAAAATATTCGGTATATGAAATACATTTTAAATGGTTTGTTTCTTTAACTAGCTTCTCTATCTTTCTGTTCATTCGATAACTGTTAATTGAATGAAGGTAATAATAAAGCAATAAAAAAGTCATCAAAGACATATACAACGCCTTAGAAGATAATACCAAAACTTTTCGTTTAGATCTCAGTTTAAAAAGCCGTTCTTAAAAATCTTAAAAACCTAAGAATTTAATAGTACTTCGGATCATGATGGTTTAAATTTTTGTTTTTAACTGTATATATTCCGTGACCGGATTCAAGGACCTTCTTTTTCAATGAGCGCTTCTACGAATATCTATTTTGAAAACTGTGTATAGATTCTAATTTTAACTAAAGAAGTGAGAAAATATTCGTAAATATTCACCATTCTCGAATCTCTACGCTTGGGGAGCACTTACGTAATTAAAAAGAGAAAGAGAGAAAAAGAGAGAGAAAGAGAGAGAGAGAGAGATAAATCTTTACTATTGTATTGCCAGCTTGAATTTGGGTTTTTTTGGAATTAAATCTCTGTCATAGTATACATTTGAAACATTTTGTTAGTACTTACTAAAAAGATAAAAGTAAAGTTACAATCTCTCTCCGCATACTTGAAATTTATAAAATGTATTTTCTCGTGAACTACATTAACTTTTCAATGTCCTCTTTCAGAGCGAATTCATAATATAAACTCGGATAGCAAAATATCTCAGTGAAAAGCCATTAACAATCAATATTAATGAGTCAAAGAAGAAGAAAAATTATGACCACAGAAGAATAGTAAAGTTAAAAGTAACAGCAAAATGGAAAACCAGCAGCAAATTGACAATGAAAACGTAGCACGAAAGTAGCAACCATTGTGACCATTACTTCAGCTGTCTCAGACAACGTGCCGCGGCTGACTACCGGCAAAACTGCCACCATAAATGACAAGACGACTGCATAATTCTGCGTCAAGTCTCAGTGGCTTGCCTCAAATGTGGCACTGACAGTGGTCATGACAGTGGCAGTGGCAGCGAACTTGTGAAGTACCGCTTCGCAATTGAGTTCCTTCCCCTAACCAGCCATTTCTCTGCATACGTCATTGTTATTGCTGTTGTTCGGTTAGTCATTTGTTTGATCATGTTGTTGTTATTTCTACTTGCATGGAAGTTATTTAGCGAGTGTTGCTCTCTTACAACAGGAATTTCTATTTGCTCGTCATACCTATATAAGTATGTAGTGGTGAGCGAGTATCTGTTTTCCTTATTGTCAGCAATGAAGGTCATCGTTGTCCAATTATGGCGCGTTCGCATCCGTTACTTTGTTTACGATTCCTCTTAGAGCATTCCGATTCTCTTACAGATTTGGTTAGTTGTTATGAGGTTTCTGCTATGCTATGCTGTTTGAGGTGTTAAAAAAGGAAAGAGAAAAGTTGTTGTCTAACGATATGTTGACGCTGAAGGCTGCTATAAACATTTATAGCAAACTTTTTAGCTTAAAATTTTACTTTTTTACATCAGTTTTTCAGGAAAAAATTGAATAAATTATTTTATAGGGATACAATACTTTGTTATCGGAAACCCAGCTTGAAAAGTTTTGTAGAGGAAATATGAAAAATGGTGAAATTTTTGATAACCTTACTTCTTAATAGGTTGACAGAATGTTCTTTTCACAATTTTTCATTACATGGTACCTGATAAGCTACCAAAGATCACCATATACTAACGGAATGCTCGGCTTATCTCTTATTTATTATGCGAGTCCCTTATCCTACCAGATTGCTGTAAATGAAAAAAAAAAAAATTAATAGTTGAAGAACCCTTGGACGTTATTACAGCTATGTAATCGAAACGACAACGTTGATGTTCTTAAATTGGATACTTCTCAAGAAAGAGACTTACTTGAAAGATAAATCGATATCTTTCTGACAGTTACCATGTTGGTATTAAAGTTGGAATAAAGCTTGCCTTACGAAGAATTCTCCAGACCGTACCTGCGATTACCTCACATTTTAGTTTCGGAGACCACAAGTGCCTCTTATATTTTCTCCTCCCGAACCACGATCGCTACCGTCTTTTCTTTTTCTTAGGGATATTTTAACAACAAATTCAGAGAGTTCATAGTCAAAAAAACCTAGTTTTATAGTCGTACTATGTATGTAGGTTTTATATTATATTAATTCAAGTAAATATTTCATTGAAATTTACGCTCTAAATATTTTACTTTTCATCATCCTCCAAATTTTTGGTCGGCTGATTATAAAATTCTTTGGGTCTTCCATGTTTGATCGATAAAGTACTTTCTTTTGCAATTTTAATATTATTTTAAGAAAAAACCATCTACATTTGGATCTTAATTAATTTCAGCTAAAACACCCTTTTTATAATTCTCTTACCTCACCCTACCTACCTACATATGTACCACTTTTACAGCGCTAACAATGTAAATTCAGTCCTGTTCCTGTCCTGATCCCACGACAATAAAACACTTTCAAATTAGTGCTTACCGATAAGGATAAACCTTACACACTATTTTTCTTACAGAGTCCGGACAAATTATATATTAAGGTTGTTGAATTAGAGCCAAAGATCACAACATTAGGCACGAATCTCGATGAGTCCATACGCTTGCAGGGGGATCACGATGAGACTCTTAGGAATATACAGGTTAGTACAATTTTTACTCAAGTTTAACAATTAGTAACTTGTTTTTAATACTCTTGCATATCTAGAATCTACCTGGCCCGATGGACGAATTCGTACAGAAGGCAGACAAATTACTCGCCAGCAAGCGTATCAGTTCCGAACTAGTCAACGCCATGGCCGATACGCTCAACATCATTTGGCAGGATATTTTGCATTTACTGCACGATCGTCAACACATACTCCACCTCGGCACACAATTGCAAGAGAAGATGGCACAGTGTCAGCGTCGCATGGACCAACTGGAGGTGGCTTGCATTGACACAATGCTACCGATCGAAGTGACGGCCGTGCAAGAGTTCCTCAACAAATTCAAACAGTTGCGCATCGACATGCTCACAGCAGTAATGGCGGCGCTAAAAGATGGCAACGAGCTGCTCGCACAGCTGAAAGAACTTGTAAATTTGGAAACATTGGACACACGACCCGAGCATATCAAACGTGATGCCGCACGTGCTCTTCACCAGGTCCAGTTGTGGTTGGAGGCATTGCACGATCGCCGAAATGCTTTGGAGACTGCATGGCAAACGCGTAAAGTACAATTGGAACATTGTCTCACATTGGCGCTGCTTGGACGCGAGTTAGACGAAGTGGAGGCGGCCTTACGGCAGCAACGCAGCGAAGTCGACAGTCTATTCAGTTTGGGCGAGTGCGAACACTCGGCAAATAATGCACTGCATAACTATCGTGAATGGAAACAGCAAGCTTTGCTGTTGCGTGATCGTGCGTTGAAGATCACACGCGCGAAAGAAAAATTACAGGCTTCCGGTACCTTTACTGGCGATGAGGCTTGTGCGCGCGCCTACAACGTGCTGAGCGCATGCACGGAACACTTAGATCTGGTGGATCAACGTGAACACTGGTTACAGCAGTCACGTGACTTCTTTGCCAAGGCCGAAAACACGTTGAGCGTGCTTGAGAAACTTGAAGTAGAGTTGGCGAATGTGCGTCTGCCGCCCAACACCCCCGAGAGTTTTGCCATGTATGCGAAAGTGACGCGTGACGTGCGCAGTTTTACGGAGGAGCCACTACGACTCGGCTATAGCATATTAGACGAGGTCGGTCGCACCCAACCCGAAACACAGGGTGTGAAGCGTGTGCTCGACGAAATTGAGAATCGTAAGACATACATCGAAAGCATTTGTTCGACCAGCAATGAAGATCATCAGCGTGTACAGAAGGCGCTTGCGGACTTTTTGGCGCAATACAATGATTTGCTCAACTGGCTGATGTCTTCGGGACAACTGTATTTGCAACAGCATGTCGATATGGGCAGCACATTGGAACAGAGTAAACAGTTTCTACTGCAACATCACGAACTCATGCAGGATCTGGAGGTTGTTGTATAGATTTTTAAGCAAATTTTCATTAACTAATTAAAAATTTTTGTTTTACAGATCAAAGGCGAACTCATAAATTTGCTGCTTGAGTCCATAAAAGCGCATCTGGAGTCGTTGAGTCCACAGCAACGTTACGATGTGGATTCTAAGGCTGAGGCGCTGCACAAGCATTGGATTGAGCTCAAGGATTTGGTGCTGAAACGCGTCGATTGTGTTTCCTTGCTTATTGAATTCTTCGAGAAAGCTAATGAGTTGGCGAGTCAGTTGGATAATCTGGATAAACAGTTAAAACAAACGGCCGACGAGCAGAAACTACAATTTTTGCAAGAGAACTGGAAGCACATACGCGCCGATTATGCAGATTTGAAGAGTTTGGGAACACGTTTTATCAATTTGAAAGTGTGTACTTCTGTTTTATATATTATTTACAAGACTAAATATTTGTGGAGGGGTATTTTAGAAAGCAATAGTGGTGATTCTTCGGCTTTTAGTTATATCTAATAATACTTAGTACTATAATTATATATTATTTTATAATATTGTATGTATTGGCTTGAATTACTAAAATATCTTGAAACTAACAGTTAAAATGCTTAGGTAGAAAAATTTGTTGTTACCATACGCTTTTCTTATCTAATTTTTTTTTAAATTTATACGCTGGTTACCTGTTACTTGTTGACTAACTAAATATAAGTAACTAACTAAGTTTATCTAGTATTATTTGCACAAAGTTCGGCCAATTTTAACCATATAAGAATACTAATTAATATGTAAATGTAAAAGGACTATAGATGCACATATACCTAAAGCTCCAACTCGTTCTTAAACAAGAGTTTAGTTCCAAAGATTATACTACAAAGAAAAAAATAGTTTCTTTACAAATCCATTGATACAAAATATCAGGTTTATAGTTCTCTGATACCACAATTTTTCTTTGTAAAATATTTATTACTATCGCAGTGAACTCCATTATATGATTTTTTACTTCAACCAAATTAGAAGAACTCCCTTAGAAACATAACAAAGCAGGGTATGCAAACGTAGCCAACTATTTTGGTATTTGATATTCACAAAGGTGTGAAAGCATGAATGAAAAATCGAAAAGAACTGTAACCAAAAATTACTTGAAGCCAACCAATTCAAATTAAATCAATAATTAAAGTTGGTCTGACTTCAAAACAAAAAAAAAAAAAAAAATTTTAAGGCGATTTTACATATAGACCAGGGTAGATAATTTTTGAAAAGAAAACAAAAAACATAGTAGGATGAAACCCATCGGAGACGACAGATAAAATAACAAAAATTAAGGGAAAAATAATTTACGGGCGATGTGAGATCGGGAAGTGGAAGAGGAGGGGCGTGGTAGATCTTTTAAGGGCTTAAAACGGTTTATGTTGATTTCCGGCAAAATTGCGAGTCCGATAGAAAAAAGTTAGATGGCAATATTGTAGGTAATGAAAAGGTCTATAACCTTTGTATACAGACTTTTTTGACATAACCTCAAAATTCATGTGAAAAATTCAAATAACCAAGTTTTTCGGTATTTAAGTTTTATATTGTACAAACAGTTTTGTTCTTTCACGAAATTCGGCATTTTGACCTAATATGGAAAAAAGCTCCTAACTTTCAATCCAAGATTCTTAAGTCAAAATATCAGATTTTTTTTACAAGATCAGTAGGCTTTATATTCGCTAAAATCTTTACTCTATGTTCTAAACTAGCAACGATATAATAAGCTAACGGATATTGAAGGAATAACGATTGTACTTGAAGAAATTTTAGATGATCTGTTTAAAAACATTCATTGAGCATATTTCGCCACTACTTCTACCATACTAAGGCAACAGGCGAAAACGAAACTAGAATTCAAATTTCACTAACTTTTAAACAAAATTTTCTTCAAACTCAAACTTTTTATGTTAAAATATGAAAGGCTACATTCAGTTCATCTTCAGGACATACTTAGAGGTGTCCGTTTATAAAGCGAAGGTTTCGAGAAGTGCTACAGACAAATATTACGATAAAGAGACTTGAAAAAATTCAAATCATTAATATGTAGAGATAAATCTAAAATCAGACGGAAAAAAATTTGGTTATACCTATATATAATACAAGTGCATCGTCTAGTTCCGTACAAAGCATTTTTTGAATTAACAAAATGGCGGTCTTAAGAAAATGTTTTCCAGATTTACGGGAAAAACCAACAGTTAATTGTTAGAGAATATTTCTAAGATATTATACTTCAGGAAAATAAAAAAACCGATTTTATGAAAATTCTGGTTCCCCCTAATTCCTAATGTGTGTTTGGCTTGAGATAGCGCTTTAAAGTATTATTTATTTATATACATTTAGGTAGTTCTTAGCATTACATATTTTTATCCTCCCAACTTTTTCGTCTTCTTTGAAGTTTAGAAAAATTTCATATCAAAAAGGGGATGAGAACTTTCTCGACTATTTATTAGTTGACACATCTTAGCAAAACGTAGTAGCATCTACAAAACAAGTTTTTTCTCCTTATTTTCTGGTAAAAAATAACTGCAGAACCTTCGAAAGCCACAATTGCTGTTAACGTTGCTGTTATAGATTCCATATAAGACTTGATTTTTATAATTCCGTCTGTATGGCAAATATATGATTTACTATAGCTATTACAGCGGCCGAAAGTAATTTATTCATTATAAATTGAAATTGAGGGTTAAGCACATTATATTTGTTGCTGTTATTAATGACAGCAAAACTTTTGAAAGCTACAACAATTTTTCTCAGTGTACTAGCAAGTGCTTTTTGCTTGAAGAACAGTTGGTCACGCAGCCAGAACAAGCACTTGCCACATTCAACTCGTTTGCAATTAATTTCATTATGACAGCGAAATTAATTTTACTTAGTGGCCACTTCTGACATGTTAACCAAACATGAAATATATTTTTGACAACACACAAATGTACTGTTGATTTAAAATATTTCTTTGTGGTAGTGCGGAGAATATAGAAGATATGCGAAGGAAGGACTAGTTTTGAAGTAGGAACTGCGGAAATGGTTTAGGAACCAGTGGGTGAGAGCAGGTAAAAAAAACACAAAACAGACAGCAAAAAAGCGTTAGCCACCTCTAATACCATTTAGATTAATCTATGCTAAATTTTCTCAAGATGTTATGTCAAATTAAGAAGTTTTCCTTACACGAATTTGATTTTAATCGGCCAGTTTGTATACCACCGATATCTTCCATTCCGAGAAATCAGCAGATTCTTGGGAGAAAAAACGTTAGCAAAATTTCAGATCTATATCTCAAAAACTGAGAGACTAGTTTACGAATATACAATCAGACGAACATGGTTAAATCCACTCAGCTCTTCACCCTGATCATTTATATAATCATATTAGGGTCTAGGACGTGTCCTTCTAATAACTAAAAAAAATTTTTAAATATGGATAAACAAATATTTCCCATTTGAATTTACAAATTTTCATTTAAAAATGTACCTCTATTGGCCTTAGGTAACCACTTTAGAGCTAATATTCAAACCATTCCGATCTTATGTGCTTTTTGAAACTAATCAGCTGATTTTATACTTACATACATTTGTTGGTGTGTATGTGCTCCCGAAAACTTTTTTTTTTTTCATGTTCAAGTGAAAATCATACCCATTACAAAAAATAATTTAGTGAGTGCTCCACTTCACACTCTTCAAAAATAGAAGATTTCGAGTGAAACCAGAATTCCTAGAAATTATGTGAGTAAAACTACGAGTACAATATCCCTTTACATATGTGCATTTTCGAATAGCTTCGGGTAAAAGTAAACATTGATGCCAGAGAACTGTACAATTACAGTGTGTTGCAAGCAAATGAAGCTATTAAAAGAGTTCCACTAAGTTGCAGTATTGTAGTAATAAAGCAAGGAACTTACAAAAATCTACTTGGCAAATATTTGCAAGCAGATATTGTATTTTTAGGCAAGCGAGAAAGAAAACAAACAGAAGTAGAAGAAATAAAATTTCATTTGCAGTAGACTTGCAAGGCAATAAACACTTTCTAAAAATAGTCAAGATCCATGGGAGTAGTCGCTAACTTTATGTTATGCCACAGACGTCTGGATGAATGTGTTGAAATGTGAGGAATGGCTAGTGAAACTAATCAAATTTGAATTTACATTGTAGAAATTTCATTGCATTACATTACATACAGTGTGTAGGTAATCATACAGTTGTAGCTGCAGAATAGTTAATGCACTCAGCAAATATTTGAAAAGGTGGCAAGGCAAGTGAAGTAAATTTACTAAATTAACCTCAGATGATTTATTTACGAAGTTAATGTCATGCAATTTTTTTTTAAATAATAACAGAATATATTCTATATTTATTGTTAGATCGAGTTAGCTGGAAAAATTCAGTCATCTACGCCTAATTGTAGGCAATGTTTTATAAAATGTATAATTTTGACAGAAGATTTGCATTCAGCGGAAATCTCTATAATGGGTTAAAATGTATAGCAAAACTAAAAGTAAATTTTATTTAATATATTTCTTATATTTTGTAAAAAATTTGATGGATTTTTTTGGCGCAATTTTTTAAATATCTAATTTTCTTATTATAACCATTACATTTTTGTTTATTTTTCACATTTCTCGAAATTTTATTCGGTAAATTTTACTTTAGCAGTTGTAAATAACATAAAAAGTCAATATTTTACTTAAAATTTTTCAAAAAAAAAAACGTTGCCTACATTTAGGCTAAAAAGCAAAACAAATTAAAAGGACAACCCCGCAACAGAATCTTTTATATCTCAGTTTTAGTTTCATTATAATATTATTGTTTATAAAAATGCCGATAGTTCATAGAAATAATACGCACAAATTAAGAAAGCGCCTAATAAAGCTCTTCAAATTTTTAGGTAGTTCTTCATTTAATTTCTAAAAATACGCCATATGACAAAATCTTTAATGAAAAATTATTTTTTTGGTTAGAAGTCTAACTCATCAATATTTAAATTGATATAAATTTAAATATATATATATATATATATATATATACATATGTATACCCCACAAACAAAATTATCAGTGCGACTAAATAGCTGACTAAGTTTAATACGTGTGGGGTGTACTGCAAGATTTGATTTTCTTGGCGACTTTCGCAAAATATTTCAATCTATTAAACACTAACTGGGTATTAGACTATAAGTACGTATAACTGCATACACACATATTTTGTATATAATATACAAAATAAACAAACGTTTTTATTTACTGTGTATAAAATTAAATAAAATTTTCGAAAATTATTAAAAGGGAGCAGCTGCACAGGCATCTGCTGTCTATCTCACATCGAAAAGGCACAAGTAGATTATACTCTTGTATCTTAAACATATATACACACTTTTTGAATGTATGCGTGGCAGCGAAAATTGCTTGCAATATGGCAGAGTTTACTCCAAACGCTGATCAAAATAGTCAAAAAAGACATGACAAGTACATAAAAGTGTTTTAACATATCAAAGCCAAATTGCTGAGCAGAAAAGAAAATCATACTAGGGCTCCAAAAATATCGCTGTCATTGAGCCCAATTTTATTTAAAAAAAAACAACAATTAAGTTGACAAAAATCAAAATTCACAATTCGTTTATAAAAAAAATATAATATATTGTAAAAATTTTTCAAATATGTAATTCCGATAATACAACGAATTTAATATGCCAGTTTAAATATTTCTAAAAAGCATTCAACCACATTCTTTAAAAATATTTACTATAATCGAGTTATTCTAAAATTTGTAGTTGAACTTTTTCATAAATGCTTTGAAATGTTTTTTAAAAATTAGGTCTGCCAAATTTGACGAATCCTCTGACTGAATGAAGACTTTGTATTGCTAACCCGAAGATTTTCGATAAAAATTTAGTATACGATGAACGGACGATATATTATTGCTAGAGCCTTGAATTAATGTAATATAATATAATATAAGTATGGATTTTTGATTTTTTTAGAAATAAAATCTGTTTTATATCCGTCCAGAGACTGTTAGGGATAGCAGCATATCTCGAAACTATTGGGTTAATATTTTATGATTTTCCAACAACAATTACCAAATGGGAAAGAAGCCAGAAAGATGCGAAACAAGATAAAGTTCTCATAGTAGGGATTAACGTAATAGTAAAGTTATTTGATCCTAAACCACCTTAAGGTTTTTCCGTCTACTCAGTCCAATTAATGGATAGAGTAGACGGAATAAAACCTTGAGGTACTAATTTTCAAAATTTAGCTGATTCTTTAAGATCAATCAAGATTCTTTGCTAGGGAAATTAAATAATTAAAAGGAAATCGCTGCCAAGTTGTCAAGCGAATAGATTCTGTAGACCATTGAGATTAATGCGTGCCTCTTGGCCTTATATTTAACTGATCTTCTTCTCCTATACGATGCTAATGGGTTTTATATTTGATGGAACCAAATGATCACTGTAGGCTAAAAAATTAAAAAACAAAAATCGTTTCTATAATTTTTTATATTTTATTTTTCGACTAGTGCTGCCGTCCAACAATGTAAGTCGATATGCGAAATAATTGCATAGTTATTATAGTTATACTGTAGCTATAGGGATGCCATGTTTTATAATTCAGTAATCATTGAAGTAAAGAAGTGATGTACTCCATTGGAATAAGAGGAAAGTGTAGACTATTGTATGCCCATATTTTTACCGTTTTGGTAACTTACATACTGCAATTAATAATGATGTCCGAAATAGGCTAATTTCGAACTTCAGAGACAAATATTACAATTTTGAATGTTAACTACGAAAAACTGAGAAATTACTTATTTACTTATGACACAATTTGTCGAAAAGCATTGGTTTGATTCAATATCCGTAAAAATCTTTTTTGTTGTATAGTGTTATTGGATTAATATGGATATATTTTGTTAGGTTAAATCGCTAGCAATAAATCAAAATAAAAAATTGTAGACGATGAGCAGCAGCAGCATAGGAGTACATTGCAAAAATGAACAATAAATCGGTGTTTTTTACGTTTTAAACATCGAAGCAGAATAATCGATGATTTTAAACAAAAAATTTATTTCATAAAAAATTCCAAGAATTTTATTGTTTGTATTTCTTTTTAGTGGTGCCTGATAAATTGAAAGGAGCATAACAAGAGTCTTAAGCGATAGGGTGTCGTACAATTACAACATAATTAATACTCGAAAATAAGTGCACTCGAAAACGCTATTAAATAGATAATTACAAGCCAATAAACCCGTTTAGAAAAACTCTTTTATCTATAAACTAATAATACACGAAACACAAGTAATAATTAGTTTAGCTTTAAGAAGCTTGCAATAACATTATATACTATGAAAAAGACTATCAGCCACCCAAAAACAAAAACAAAATTAGAAATAAAACAATAAAACATTAAAAAGCGGAAAACAAAAACAACCACCGATAGTAAATAACAAACTAATTGAGTACATATATATAATGGATAAACACTTTTATTGCTATAAATTAATTTATGCGCTGGCAAACCAAAATATATATTCCTATACAGACTTACATATACATATAAACATATTTATATCAAAAAGCTACAACTGTACTAAAGCATTTACATACAACCACTTACATATGTATGGTATATGCGCCTCGAAGCATACAACTCCCAGCTGAGTGGCACAATAGTGCAACTTCCGTCCCTTTTGCTTTGATTTTGAGATTCTTTTAAGAGCGGCACGCGCTTTTCGGGGCGAGCATGCCCAGCTACAAAATACTTGAAAGCACAGCAACAAATATTGAGCATTTAACACAACATACATAAATATTATATACACACATATAAGCTTATATACATACGCTTGCGGTTCGGAAAAAAATAAACACAAAATTAGTAACAAAATGTCTAAAGAAATGTGTGTATGTATGTATGTACATCTATACCATATAAATAGAAGTATTAATGGAAAATAAGAGAAAATCTATAACAGCAACATTTCTGCTATTTCTGTCATTTCAAAAATCAACAACAACAACAACAATGTATGGCGTTGGGCGCACACGCATAAACTACCTCACACACACAATCGCATTTGGCGCTTTCGTACAGATCGTAGATCCATATCTCGAAACGAAATCCTCAGTGACGGCAGTCGAAGATATCCTCAACGGTTTCAGTAAGCGTCAAGTCGATGTAACAACCAGTCTAGACAATTGGACAACGCAAATAGCGGAGAAGCGTGAAGTCGAAATCATACTGGAGAAAATCATGAGTGACAATGAGGAGGTAAGTGGGAGGGCATATGCATTTTTTTTTAAATAATTTTAAAAAACAAATTTATGAAAAAAAAAAAATTTATCAAAAATTTTTCAAAAATAAAAAATAGAAAAATAAATTAGAATAAAATAGTTAATAATTATAATAAATAATACTAAAAACTAAGCAAATATGAATAATAAGTAATATATAAAATAAAAATAACAATAAATATATAAAAAAAATTAAAATATATAAACAGAAAAAAATTAAATAAAAGGATGTTAGACTAAATAAAAAAATAAATGGATACAAAAATATATCAAAAGTATAACAAAATAAATAGAAAATAATATATTAAATAAAAAAGCAATAAATTTAGAGGAAAAATATAATTATATATAAATAAATTGAAAAAATTAAACTAACTAAGTAATAATTATAAAAAAATAAATAAATAAAATAATACAAATTTTTTTTTAAATAAATAAATAGAAAATGATTTACATAAAAAAAGTACATAATAACAAATGAAAAAAAAGAATGAATGGAAATATACATAAAAAGTATTATAATATATAAAATAAAAGCAATAAGTATAAATTAAAAGTAAATAAATAGAAAAAACATAAACTAAGCAATTAACAAATGAATAAAAACTAAAATAGGTAAAAAATTAAAAAATACACAAAAAACAACGTAATAAAATTTAAAATAAATACAAAGTAAAATTGCAAATGCAAAAAAAAAAATATTTGGGAAATAAAACTAAAACCATCGCACAGACGAAAATGAAAATGTTGAATATGTAAAAACTATTAAAAAAATTTAAAAATAAAACTTACCAAAATTATAATCCAAAAATTGCACATAAGCAAAACCATAAAGTGGCACAAATAAACAAAAACAATTTTTTATACAAATCAAAATTAAACAAACAAATTCGTTGTACAAAAAAATTTCACGTAAACATTTCACTCATCAAACTTCACGCCAATTGTGTATTTTCATTAAAAAAATATATATTTTTCTATTTTCATTTTCCGCCCATAAACCAACCGCAGACGGCCACAAAGACAACCCAAGTAGATACACAGCTGTATCCAGTTTTCACTTCATCCTCCCTGGATGCGCGTCAATTGCACACGATCACTAGCGACAAGCTCACACATGTGCTGCAGGACATCGACAAGGCGCAGGATGAGCTCCAGCATCGCATACATACCACGCTCGGCATACAAACGAAAAATCCCGAATCATTGCAAAAAATCGAACAGGTCATTAGTAATTTACGTGCATTGAAATCCAAATTGGAGGGTATACGCTACGACTACAAAACACTGCTGGAGAATATACTCAAATTCTTGGTCGAGATCACCGAACTGCAACGCAACATCGATGACTTTTTCGCCAAACAACAGCAACAGCAAAGTCAGTTGGGCAGCAGCGGTGAGGTGGCCGATATTGAGCGCACCATTGTTGAGCATGAGAAATTCCGCGATAATTGTATGGATAAATTTAGATCGTTAATCACACAATCCGAATTGCTGATCGATCGCGTGCGTGCACTGGAACCGCCGGGCGCACGCGAAATCGACACCGATCGCATACTGAAATTGCTGGAGAATTTGCGTCTTCATTTCGAGGCCGGCAATAGTGAGAGAATGTCGCGTCTGGAGCGACTCGGCAAGCTGGAACAATTCAAAACGGATCTGTGCGATATTAATCGCAGTCTGGATAGTGTTAGCAAGCAATTGCATGAGATCAATGGACAAAGTGTTGACAGCTTGGCGGCGGCGAAGACAACATCGTTGGCGTTCGAGTATTTTGAGCGCACCATTGAGGTGAGTATTCGAGTGGGTGGCACGTGAGCTGTAAAGCTGGAGGTGTTGTGTATAACAAATAATATAAAAGACAAGTGAATAGAAGTCAACGATAAAATAATTATTGTATGCAAGTGTTTGCATGTAGTGGTGCATATATTTGTAGATGTGTGTGAAAATGGGTGTGTATCGAATTGTGGCAGGTACGCGATGCTGCGCAAGATGTTTTGTTTCCTCATTTTAATTACATTAATTTTTTTTTTTTTGTTGGACAAATGTTAGTTGTGGTTCAATGAACAATGAACAAGGTGTTGTGCGTCAGCTATTTAAAAAAAGAAAGTTTGAATAATCAAGAACTCAGAGTAATCACGATACCATATATGGTTTGAAAAAATTTAAAATAAATTCAATAAATTTGTAGAAGAAAAAAATTTATAGATAAAGAAAAAAAATAATTAATTAACCTAAACAAAAAATGCTAGAATAATCTGCGAAACAGGAAGGCCTTGAGATATTCGCCATAATTTTAGTTTCAGATGTATTTTAAAATAAAATTAGAATAAATCAAAATAATAAAATACAATAATTAAATCTACACCATGCCATAAAAAACTTAGTGATTTCAACATTACCACAATTTTTGAAACCTATAAAAAAATTGTTTGTTTGGTTTGAATAGACAAAAACTTCTTAGCAAATTTTTACAAACAATAAAATAAAATAATAAAACGTTTTAACAAAAGTTTTCATATTTTTTTATGAGTGTGTTGTTCGAAATATTGACAAAAACTAAAACTTAATTTAAAAAAAATTCGTCTAACATTCTAAAATATAATATAACAATTGAAAGTTAAATATTTTTGAAAAATTTTTTTAGATATTCGATTTTATTGAAAATAACATGTCTTTTGATTTAAAAACAGTTTTTTGAAAAAAATTCGAAAAAATAATATAATTATATACTGTAATAACAAAAAAGTGAAAGTTTATGAACCAAATGCTATTTTGGATTTTCAGGTAAAAATTTATATAGAACAAAACAAGTGAATCTTATAGATAAATAAATCGTATAGCTAGAAAAGGCTAGCACAGAAAGTGTCTTCTATTGAGGTGGTTAGTATATTCTAATTTATTGTAAATAGTGAAAACTAATTAAAATCGCAGAAACAAGGTTTCTAAAGTACACTCATTCAAATTAATTACAATTTGTGTTGTTAAAGTTACTTCAATATTAAAACATGAACTTTTATACGAGAAATAAGTTTCTAAAACATTTCCTATTTCGGACATATACAAGTATTGGCATTATTTTGTAATTTTTATAAATTTTCCGAAATCAAATTCACTTCTTTTTCACAAATAGTATACAGCATAGTAACCTTATACTCTTGTGATAAATTTCATTTGCGAGCTGAAAAATTTCTTAATTAAAACTATGATTTCGATGAAACGAAAATAAGCCGAAAATTTACCTCAAGATAAAATTAAATAAGTTTGATTTTTGGTCATTTTAAGAACATATTTTCAAAACCCATAAACTATATGGTAAAGAGTTTCGTAACTTTGAGACAACAGTGTTTTGTTTTCGTAGATTTTAGCATTGAGGCTTTTGCTGAAATCCTCCTCAAATTAAAAGTTATACTTATATAGAAACGAATTGAGGCTGTTAATCATATGCAGAGACCCAAATAAATATTTTACGTGAAATATTTTGCTGAAGTAGTTAAAAAGGAAGGATTAAGGAATCGGATTAAGTTCTTCAGGTTTCTAAATCGGTTTGACAACGATGTCCTGTTATACAGGCCAGAAAACGTAGAAAAAACCATGCCATTTAGGGAACTGTATAATTTATATATATATTTATATATAACTTAAATATATATATAATATATTTCATATTGAACTTCTTGAATCTATTGCGATTTCTGTTCCAAAGTTTTGGTTGTTAATAAAAGAAATCGATGTTAATCATATAACAAAAAATTCAGGGCATATTTGAAACCCTCGATTCGTATGGATTATTATGACGATTTTTTAAAGCAGCCTAGAAAAAATTTTGGTGAAAGTTCAAACACTAAAATTTCAAATTTTGGAAAAGCATTTTTATCGTTTCTTAACATTATTATAGCTTATCGATTAGAAGTCTCTAGATAAATGTGCTTGCTGTGTCTCTTAAAAAGAGATTTCTTCCAATTCTTCCACTGAACTGTTTGTTTTTAATTTAAATAAATAATTTTAGAAATTAACACACAAGCATTTTATTACAAAACCATTATTTATTGTAACGAGCTAAATATGAAAATGTATACAAAAAAACAATCTTTCAGAACTCAATGCCAACATTTTTGGTGCCCGTTAAGCATCAGCTACGTTGGGGTCATAATAGCAAACCGTTAAAGGTATTTAATTATTAATTAGTTTTTATTGAATTTAAAATTTAAAAAGAAATTCTCAACTAATTTTGTTTGCCTGAAACAATACTTTTCATTTGATTATCTACCATAAAAATGATTATTCAACAATGGCACAACACTACAACCATTGCTCATCAATGCTTCACTTTCTACTATAAAAACCTAATCAATAAATAGCAATTATACAATTTAAATTTCCAAAAACTATACAACTTAATGGCCAAGCTTTTAAGCACATACATATGTAAACATAAATACGAGTACACTTTCATACGATCACTTCTATATCATTTGCGGTTCATCGATCCATCAGTTTGGTGACGGCGCCAAAGCAGCCGGCAAATGTCAACGCATACAAGACAAGTTCATTATTTGTTTTGCTTGACTTGAAGTTGTTGTAGTTGTTATTTTGTGTTTCAATTTACTTATGCGTTTATCTGCGTTTAAATGTTACAACAATAAATATGACGCAAATCTTTCTGTTTGTATTCGCTTTACACAAACAAGAAAATGTCACGCGTTGACAAGCACACATAGAAACAATAACAAATTGGCATACATATACACATATACATATGTATTTATACAATATACATATAGTATAATATTTACATATATATATCTATATATATTAATGTATAACATTTACATATAACCGCCAACGTAACAATTGCGAATGATCTTCCTTTCAAATAAAAGCGCACAAAAGGCAACTGGGCGTTGCTGCGCTGTGGCACTTTGCCATTATAAATAATCGCGAAAATTTGCCATGCAAAACTGTCTACCAAAACGCCACATACATTTTATTTGTTTAAGCCAAACATTTTGTGCGAAAACTTTTCAATAAATTACATTTCGAAATTGGCTGTCATGCGATGGAGGAGATTTGACTAAATAATCCGGATATACAATGCTGTTGTATAGCGGTATTTGTACAGTTTAGTAAACATTTATTTTTGCAATTATATAAATAAATGGGAAATATAAAAATTGGTTTATAGATATTTTAGGGCAAATTTTGGGCAAGATTGATGATTTTTGCTAGATCGTCAAAAATGGTGGTGCTTCAAAAGAAGGGTATTTACTGTTTTTAATATTGAATACTGTAAGATAATAGAAAATTTTTGCAAAAATGTATATATTCCATATATTAGAATATTTAATTATTATTTTAAATTAGCAAAAAAGTTAAAGCATATTTATTAATTATTGAATACAAGAAAATTTAATTGCTAAAATCTGTTAAAACAATATATAACAAAATTAATTTTTTGAATACTGTCCAAATTTTCAAATTATTGTATTATTTTTTGCCCACAAATCAGTGATTTAACAATAACAACTGTCTAAAAAATTCTCCATATGCAAAAAGCAAATTTTTTGAATTTATTTTAAATATTCTATGCATTACTTATGTTAGTTTGCGTTGCACATTGGAAATTGGACTGAAAGCAAAAATTGTTCCTCAGGCAAAATGTTACTCATACGCCCCGTACATACGGCAGTTGAAACTACATACTCGTATACAAAAATATAGCCGTGCACACACTTACGGTATTTAATGTTCTGACTTGCATTTTATGTTAAAAAAATTATAATAAAATACATATACAAATATTTATAGGGTGGTAGGCATATTTTTTTTTAACATAATTAAATTTTATTTATTTAATGGGGGCACTAAAGCTTAAAAGAAAATTCTGTAGCGCCATAAATCTCCGTAGGTTAACGGTGTGAATATTTTTATCCAATAGCTCCGATGATAATCGGTTAGTTTTAAACCAGAAAGTGAGAAGGTTGCCAATCGCATAAACCATTTACTAAAATATATATATAAGATAAAAAAAAAAGAAATTGATGAGGTGTTAGAAAAGTTGCAAAACAAAATTGGTTTTTGAGGGTTGTCACATGTTAAATAATTCGGTTCAATGATACTTGTATAACTAATAATTTCGAGTCATTAAAAAAAATTGGGTATCAAACTGAAAATGTTTTCAAAGGCTTACTTCATTAGAAAATAAATTTTTAAGAAGTACCACCTGTTTATGGTACATTTTCAATTTAAATAAATTGATAAAAGAAGTGATATTAAATATTACTGTATAATTTGAGGCCGATATATATATTTTGCCAATACATTTTTTGAGATGGGTTGCCATCTAGTTGGAACATTAAGTTTAAAAATATGGAGAAATTACTTTAATAGATTAATAGTGGCTACAAAATAAATTTATATGAAAAACATTTTATGTTCATTGAAAATTATTATTAATAGGATCATCTTTTGAAAAAAAAACCTACAAAAATATGCAGTTTGATATTAGGCGGCCATATCAAACTGCATATTTTTGTGAACTGTAATAAATTTAATTTCTGAAAACGTATTTTCGAAAAGCATCATCATTATAACTAATGTTTTTAATGTTTTTAATTTATTTATATTAAAAAAAATTAAAGGTGTTGCCACAGTGATTTAATTTTTCGCATATATCGTTGATGGATGCAACGTACATCAAGTACAAAACGGAAAAGTGTTTATTTTTGCCATACAGATTAACTTTAATTCTAAACGATTTTACATATTTCATAAAAATTTCAAATTGAAAAACTTTCGAAAAATTAGTTCGAAAACGTCTAAAAATACTTTCAGAAAATGCAAAATGACAACGTTAAAATAAAGTACACAAACAAAGTACAAAATTATTTTATTTTAAGGCCACGATTGGGTCTTAATAATACATAAAAATAAAAAATTATTATTTTACTTTCTTTAGAGCTCACATAACTGGAGCGGACCATGAGATAAATTTACATAATACTCTATGTTTCGTGTTGGGTTAATTTACTTTATGGAATAATGGACTTTTCAGAAATTTCAAGTTGTCAGTGTAAAATGTATTATAAATGAAAGTTCCTAAATATAAATTGTTAGATAAATTTCCACCTACAAAGTGGTGATATAGAAATCGAGCTGAAATGTAGAAATGTAAGAAGTGATGTTTGAAGACTAAACCGTTTTAGATAGAAAGTTTTTTTTTTTGTAAATTTTGACATATAGCATAGTGAGGTCATAGTAAATCACAGGATAGACCCTAGTTGGATTACATTGAAATTACCCGACGTGTAAAAGGAGTTGTGCGAAACTATTCTAATTTATTTCGTTAAACGTTTAAACACTTTTCCCTGTTCCATAGAATGTTCAAGGGTTTTTGGTCCAAAGAGAAAACTTCCTGTGCTAATCTCTTTTATAGTTCTTGAATTGGTATGGATCTTATAGACGAGGCAACTCGTAAATCATAACAACATCGTATAGAAGAAGTGTACAAGAGGTTGAAAACCCGCTGATTCCGAGGTATTTTATCTAAAAAAGCGTTAATGATATTCTGAAATTACGAAAAACTCAATTTTATTAAAAAAAAGAAGAACTCTCGTGCGAGTTATTTTTGGCTGCGTCTATGAAATGAAAGCATTAGCAATAAATATTGTTTTACACAATTATGGTGAAAGCATTTTAATTTATGAGAAATTTTCTTATGAATCTGATAAAAAAGTGCAATAAAGAATTTTTGAAATTAACATAAATCGAAATTTATTACTGCCAAAGACACACAAGCGCACAGTTTTTTAATGCGTCTTGCGACCAAGTCTATGAATTTCGGTGGAAAGTGTGTGCAGCAACCATATATACAATTAATAAACAAAATGTTGAAAAAAGTTTCGCAAAAACACGCGATGATATGTTTTGAATATATTTTAGGACAAGCAAAGCAAAAAAAGGAAGAGAAACAAAATACGGGCATAAAATACAAACACAAGCAAATATATAAAACATTTACGAGGCTTGTCTGGGGCGTATGTCATATATATGGGCCGACATAGTCATGTATATGTATATACGTACACAGAAGCTAAGAACTGCATGTAGCATGTGCAACAGAGTTCGTACAACAACAAGAAACTTTTACTTTTTAAAAATCACTTTTTTTATTTTTTCTTTTTTTTTAAATTTTGGCTCAACCAATTGCACTCATACATGCAAACACTTTATTTTTATGCATTTTGTGGTGAATTTCGCACATCTTCCAAATATCTCAAGTTGCAACGGTCGAGTATCTATTGCAACTGCAGCACTTTATGCCGTGTAGAATTCTGCGAATTGTATGCTATGCTTCGCTGATGGACAGACTGACAGACGTATAGCCAGCGCAGCTGTTGGCCATTTTTAATTAGAGACAACATCGCTTGATGCGCCTCTAATTGTTTTGGACTGATTGATGCTCGAGCGAATATAGAGTGGCAAGTACGCACAGACTATTTGCCAAGCGATTTTTAGGTGCGTCTTTATGTGCAAAAATTTCCAGAAATCACTTGCAAATTTTGTATAATATTTGTGGATTCATAAATTATGCTCGTGAGATTTATGGGTAGAAGTAAAAGGCAAATAAATTACGATAATTCAAATATTTTTAGAAAAAAATTCTAAAATAGTAAAATAGTAAAAGATGTAGCTGTAGAATATTATACTTTAAATAAGGAGATGGGAATGCTTTATGTTGTAAATCAATTATGTTGATACCTTTACATTGCTTGATTATTACAGTACATAAATTGGCATTGACTAAGTGGTAGGCATAATTTTTACTGGACTAAAATTAAGAAGACTTTAGATGATAGCTAAAGGGAGAAATTTGGCAACAGTGCAAATATTGTTTTTGCCACCAAGCGACAAAAAAAAATTTTTTTGAGATAGTAAAATGACACATCGATACTTTATTTCATCTTAATATTTCACTTGGAACTCTAACAAAATAAATAGCATAATATTTACTGTTATGTAATAGATATGTGTGTTTTTCGTCTCTTAAAATATACTTGTAGAATGATCAGCATCTTGGTATCTCAATATTAGTAGAAAGAAGCTAAATCAATCACACAGGTTTATTAAACGGAAGGTAGACAAAATATATGTTGGGTTACATAAGTCAACTACTTGAGTTTTGCTTAGAAAAATAGCTGTTATATTAATAAGTGTAAATTTTATTCGATATTCTTTATATCTTTACACAGGAAAGGCTTTAAGATTGAATTTCACTTTGATATCTCACTTTTGGTCCTAACAACGTTATTTACATAGAACCGTTATACCAAAATTAAACAAGATTTGAATTCGAATTTATCTATGGTAAATAGGTCATATACTATATTTATGAAGAGTAACAGACAAACATTATGTAACATAATAGACAAAGTTACCATTTGAGCACGCCCATTTCTTGAGGTAGAAATATAGTGGACACAATAAGAGTTAATACTGAATCATTATAGTGTTATTCATTACTAAAAATAGCCAGAAGCCAATTACATAGGCGGTAGGCACAATATTTTTTGAGAAAGCCGGTACAGACATCGTTACCGAACTTCATCTTAGTATTATACTATTTTCTGGTATCAGGTAAAATTGCAGAGAACTCTTATAGAAGAGATAGACGACATTCCAATCCAATTACGATAATTTTTTCCGAGCATGTTTAAGCATAACATTTCACTTAAAAGCTCATAGGAAAACCTAGTTAAGAAGAAAATTAATGTGCACGATAATACGATCTTCATACTTTTAACATTTTCTCATTTAAGTGTTAATACACCTATTGAAAAATGCTAGCACGAATATTTAAACTACACTTCAGTAGAACAAATAACTCTTTGTACAACTCATTCTTCGTTCAGTACTACATTCTACAGCTCGAAACATGCTGATTATAAATCTCTTATGATCTCCTCTCCTAAAATATGAAACTTATGCGCTCTCCTTCACATTCTTTTCAGCTGCTTGAGAAGCGCATTGATAAGTTTACCGAGACAACATCGGAACAGCTGTTGATTACGAATCCCGAAAGTCAAACATATGTGCGCGAGGAACTACAGAAACTCAACGAAAAATGGCGGCACTTCAAAGATCAAGTGAAGAACAAGCGGAAATCGCTCGATCAGGCAACAGAGTTCTTCGAAAAGGTGGAGAAAGTAAGTAGTCCAAAAAAAAAGCTATAAATTCAAAAGTGAAAAAAAATTATTTATGTGTTTATTTATAATCTTAACAGATCGACGCCGAATACCGTGAAATCAGCTACTTCTACAACAGCGTTTCGAATAAGATCACATATTTACGTGACCCTGTCGAGGCATCGAATCTAGTCAATGATATTGAAAAGTACGTAGTGACACGCGAAGGTCCGTTGCTGGATAAACTCGAACAAGCTGCACAATGTGCACACGATTTAAATAAAGTTTCGACGCTTTACAATGATGTACGTGGCATATTCCAAGCATTTATGAAACTACGATCTGATATCAGTGTGGTCCAGGAACGTCTAAAGAATGAGGAACGTTTGCGTGAACAACGAGAAAAAGAAGCGCGCGAGCAGGAAGAGCGTGAACGAGTTGCACGTGAAGCTGAGGCTAAAGAGCGAGCTGCACGTGAATCGGAAGAACGTGAACGCGTAGCACGTGAATTAGCCGCACGGGAGCAAGCGCTGCGTGAAGAGGAAGCGCGTTTGCAGGCCATACGTGAGCAGACGGCGCGTGAACAAGCCGCACGGGAGCAAGCGGCACGGGAAGAAGAAGCGCGTCTACAAGCGCTGCGCGAACAAGCACAACGCGATGAGGAAGCGCGTCTGCAGGCGCTACGGGAACAGGCCAGACGCGAGGAAGAGGCAAGGTTAGAAGCATTACGTCAGGAAGAGGCGCGCTTACAAACGCTACGTGAGCAAACAAAGCGCGAAGAGGAAGCACGACTGCAAGCATTACGCGAACAGGCTGCACGCGAAGAGGAAGCGCGCTTGCAGGCGCTACGTGAGCAGGCTAGACGCGAAGAGGAAGTACGATTGGAGACAATACGTAAGGAAGAGACGCGTTTACAAGCGCTGCGCGAGCAGACAAAGCGCGAAGAAGAAGCGCGCCTGCAAGCGTTACGCGAACTCGCTTCGCGCGAGGAAGAAGCACGTGTACAGTTCTTACGCGAACAAGCGAAACGCGAAGAAGAAAACCGTTTGTTGGCGCTACGTGAACAAGCCACACGAGAAGAGGAAGCACGCTTGCAAGCGCTACGCGAGCAAACAAAGCGCGACGAGTATGCGCGCTTGCAAAGCGTACGCGATCAAATCGATCATCAGCGCATCGTAACAGAAAATATACGTAAAGACATACAAGTTAATGAAATTTTCACGGAAATCAAATATGTATCGCCACGCTTCAATCGTCAACTGAAGGATGCAATCACACGTGAGGGCGACAAATTCACCTTTGAATGTGAGGTGATCGGTAACCCTGAACCAGCGGTAGAGTGGTTCAAAGACGGCATATCCATACAAAATAATCCCGATTACAAAACCACTTATGAACGTGGCACTTGTCGTTTAGTGATCGAAGAGACTTTCACTGCCGATTCGGCGCGTTTCAGTTGTCGCGCCTCGAACTTGGTGGGTAGCAATGAGACTAGCGGCAACTTGTCGGTACGTGAAAATGCTATCGAAATGCAAATGGTACCACCCAGAATTATACGCTTCCTGGAGAGTGGTAAGGCAACAGAGGGCAGTACTTTTCAATTTTTATGTGTCGTCAGTGGAAATCCTCTACCCACGGTGCAATGGTATAAAAACGATAAATGTATTGATGATTCACCTGATTATGTAATCAATTACAATAATGGTGAGGCCACCCTGCGCTTCGAAGAGGTTTTCCTGGAAGATGACGCTGTTTACACTTGTAGTGCCTCAAATCCAGCCGGCATTGAACACTGTTCGGCAAGCTTAATTGTGGAACGTAAGTAAAATAAATAAATGTATTATTAATTTATTCGCCGTTTCCTCTTTGGAGATAATCCTCGCGCCGAAATGTAGGCAACACTTTTAATACTTTTTTCAAAAACCTTCTCAAATATTAATTCTTTATTTACATAATCTGTTGATAAACACAGGAGGTTCTTTTAACTCCACATGTAACCAATATGTACATCAAATGGAGAGAATTGTCTTGTCCATAAAAAAGTTAATAATAATATTTTTAATTTAATTTCAGCTCTAGAACCAACAGAAGTACCACACTTCAAAATCCCGCTTTCCAATGCCATGGCTCGAGTTGGTCAAAAAATAAAGCTTGAAGCTCTTATCGGTGGCATACCACGGCCGGATATTTTCTGGATGCACAATGGCAAACCCTATGTACCGCGAGATAGCAAAGTGAGTATACCTATTCAATTAAGTCTGAAGTATTAGTTATTAAAAACTTCATTAAAAATTTAAATATAATATTTAGTGTAATATGAAATTGTTGGAGAGATGGTGGGAGTCTAAAATTAGATGCAGAACAAACCAAGAGCTCAATAGAGGGCTGTAGAGACAGGAAATTCACTGGAGGGATAGATGTCATACCAGCTGTCAAAACAATGTCAAAGTATGTTGTTTATTTTGACAGCTGTCAATGTCAAGAAAGAAAAATTGTTGCCTTCATTTCCAAATGTAGTTAAACTGAAAATATATGGTATAAGGTCCAATTTTACTTAGTTTTTGGAGTATCGACAATGCACTATATTAATTTAAGATTTCTATTTGTCTCTAGAGTTCTTCTTTTGTTCACAAAAACGATTATATAACTGAGGTAAAGGACCAGTAGAGCATGTATTGTGTTATTCAGACATGTGGCTTTGAGAACGCTTTTTTTGTCCCAAAAAGGTGATTTAGTGACTTGACCGTGATCAGATAAAGACCAGAATCTACAGAATGCAACAACCCGAGTTCTTTTTGTTTGTAGTAGTAACTTATCGAAGCTTCGTGTACACAAGAGTATCAAAATTAGGAACTTATGCCGAAATACCACCCACAAATATAATCGTCATCGAATTATGCTCAACAAACGAGCCAAACGCACTAACTGTATCCACTACAACCGATTATTCCAAATAATGGTGCTATATATAGCACGCTGTGAAAAAAAAGAATAGAATCACTTTAGTGCAATAAAAAATTGAGCTAATTGCATTAATTTGTTTTTGGGGCCACTATGGCATTAGCGTGGGCAGTTGGCGAAATGGCGAGCAGGCGGTGCGATATTACTTAGACGATTGCCAAAAATAATCCGAGAGAAGATAGTGCTAACAGTAGGAGTGAGTGTGTGCGTAGCTGTTATGGCCTAAATGAATTTCGACGTAGACTTCGACGATAAAGATTCATTATATTCATATTTATTGAAAATGTGTGCAATTTATAGGAGCCAATGTGTAACGGCGCTGCATTGCAGACATAATTATATTATGACAATTTCTGTGGCGGTGTTGGCGGTTGTTGAGCGGGTCAAGGCGAGCTGAAAGTTTGCTTCTAGATATTTTAGCGGTATTATTAATGACTTAAAAACGGCCATTGTGCTTGAAACGGAAATTGTTGCGAATGGATTGTGGGCGTTATTGTTGACAGCTTTTGTGGTAATTTTCGAAAATTGATTATTATTATAATTGTTTAAGGCAAAAACGCTTTTCAATAAAGTATTTAAGAAATTTTAAAATAGTTAAAGAGGAGCGCACAGTTTGCTGTTGTTCAGCGAGAGCATCAGTATTTATCAAATTTGTAATAAAACATTAGGGTAGCACAAAGGTTTTGAAAAAATATTATATCTATTTTGGATGGCTAACATAGATTATTTAACTTTTAGAATAACAAAATAACCAAAATTTTTTTTTAAAATTCTGAAAAAATAATAATGAAGTTTACAAAAATAAAAGCGTTAACTTCATTGAACAATATGTGCGGAGTGTGCTTGGGCAATAATCCGTGCCAAATTTCGTGAACATAGCTCGTCAGTTACAAAAGTTTTCTATACAAGGACTTGAGTTTGATCGATCAGTTTGTATAGCAGTTATATACATATTATATATAGTCCAATATCGGTGGTTCCTAGATATGCGCTGCTTTTTGAAGAGAACAGGACGTGTGCTAAATTTCAGTTCGAAATCGCAAAAACTGAGAAAAATTTGGTATGTATACACAGACAGACAAACGGACATGGCTAAATTGATCCAGCTCGCCACGCTGATCATCTATATACAAGTATGTATGTTATAAACATTATAGCGTCTTCGACGTTTGTTTTAGGGTGTTACAAACTTCATGGCAAACTCAATATAAATATATTTTATATTTACTTATGACATCAATCTCTGTTAATTATTTAATTTTTAGGTTGATAAAATAGCCCCAAAACTTACGAAAAAAAAAAAATTAAGGTATTAAAAACGATCAGCTTGTAGTAGAATTCTAAATTTGCGCGTAGAACAGAATTGCACATCAAAACTTTGAGTTGGCGATGGCCAATTTTAGAATTTATTAAGAGGACACATTTCGATAAAGTGTGCAGTACCACCCTAATATTATTTTAAGCTAACATATTTACATACAAACACAAATTCACATAGCTTTTTGTCGGCATTGCAACTGCTAAGCGGCAATTTGTCAGTCGAAAATTTTCAAATTTAAATTTTTACAGCGAAATGTCACAGACTGCGTAAATAACTTGTAGGTTTAGTCGAATGCAATATGATTTTCGACAAACAAAAAATTCGGTGCCATTATAAAATAAAGTGAAGAAATAAATCTTAGAAAAGCACTTGTGCGTTAAAAAATATCAAAATAATTATTGAGAATATGCCTCTTAAAACTAATGAAATAAAACCGAATAGGAGAAAAATATTCTAAGCTAAAACAAAATATTTTAAATGAATGAGATAAAAATTGAACTTACCAAAATTGTAATTTTGAGATATCATGTTGCACAGATTAAAATAAAATACTACTTTATGGGGTCTTATGATAACACTTTATAACAATTACGGCTTTCATTAGATAAAACATGACAATGGAAGTACTCTTCTTACTCTGATCTTTACTTGAACTATCACAAATTCCGCTCTTTTAACAGTTTTGAGATGAAAAGGAACAGTTTCAATCGAACTGGATGCGAAAAAGAAAAAGTTTCGTGCAGGATCGTTGAAACGAGTCGGCGCGTGTGGAACGGTGTTATATCGAAGTGGGTAAACGAACAAAGTAGCGCGCAGGATCGTTGTCGTATCGAATGTCTCATCGAAAAATATGAAAAGAACGTTTAATCACTTTTTTTAGTGAAAAGAAGGCTTTTGAGCATAGTTGAGATAAGTATAGGGTCGAATAAATCTGTGGCCAATTATTATAGGTAGAAAATGTTTTAAGTGATTCTGCGACGTAAATAACTGGACTTTTTAAAACGATTTCTATCTTTTCAGTCCATTTATTTCATTTTTATTTCAAGTTATATTTATAATCACATTGGTTCGAAGTTTCAGTGGATGAAATTGGCTTTTTTTTATCATTACCTGGAAATAATTAGACCAATTGCCAATAGCCGAAACAAAATAACTTTAATTTTAGTGACGTTTCGAACACGCAGTTGATATAAATAGACTGGTACAAGCAAATAGAGATAAAATGCTATGCTGTTATACCAATTTATTGCGGTACCCACATAATCTCTTTTATCGAATCGAACTGTATACTTTTTTTCACATCTAAAGCGAGAAGAGCGTACATATTAGTTACTAACTACTAGTTAGTCTGTGTGATTATAATATGATTTTTACCAGTTGCTTGTTCTTTTCGTCACTGTACAAAATTTGGCGAGTCAAAGTCAGCTATAACGGTTGTTAGAAATTTATTTATGTTGTTGTTCTGACCACAAGTGTTCATTTATTTGTTTTTCTTGTTCACTTTCGCTGCAAAATGTTCGCTAAATGATTCTGTAATAAAAGATTTTATTTGTCGAATAACTTTTAGGCGTACACACAGATATATATATATGTAAACGATATATGTATTTTTGCATATTTCGCAAACTCGCTTTATTCTATATTGTATATACTTACATAGATATGTGTAAATCTTTAGTCAAAGAAAATTGTACTCTTGCCGTACGTTTAGATATTTGTTTAGACGATTATAGCCACAAAAAATATAAAAGAGAAATGTATGATATCCACCACATGTGGTTAAAATATACATATATATAATATATATGAATATATGTATTTTTATGAATGTCTATTTGTCTTCCCATTGTGAACAAGTGTTATTTATTAATCTATGATGTAATGATATACTTAAAAGGGGACTCAATGAAATATTATTGAAAAATTAAAATAATAAAAGCAAACATTTGGTTTTTCCTAATGGGTCTAAATAAGTAAAAAAGTATGCCATAATATACTATATACACGCACTTTCATATTCCGCACGTCTGTTTACATTTAGCCATTCTAAACATAGTTTCCAGTAAACAAATTTCTAATGATATTCATGAACATAAGACAGCTCGGTACATGTTCAAATCTACTACATTTACATATAGTATATTTATATGTCTATATATATAATATCCCCCATGTGGAAAGGAAATTTATATGAGGTTGGGCGTATAGAATAACAAGATTTGAACAAATAAAAGGTGAAAATAATAATTTTTGGAGGTTATTGCTCTTTCGGAAACATTACTTATTTGAACAAAATTATTCCACCGTAAGATTTTAGGACCAAATATAGGAAACATGAAAAGTATTATTTTTTTGATACCCCATAGCTGCGCTCTTAACGGCTTATAAAACGTATTTCTTGTTTTTATGGTATTGAAGTTTCAACCGTAATGAAAAAAGTTTGTTCAAATTTTTGATAGAAGTTCTCTAAAATGGATCTCAGCAGAACCAATAACGTATTTCGAAGTAACTCAAAAACTTTAAGTTCTAAAGTTGAACTCGTAGTTCAGAAGCAGAATAAAAAGCAAAGTTGATTTTATACTTCGAAGCATGTCAAAAACTTTGATTTTTGCCACTCTTTCCCATCACTTTCAGAGACGTCTAGTACATTTCACAAACTAGTAAAAGCCCAAACTTCGAAGATAAGAGCATTGAAAAGTTAACATTTTTTTGATCAAAATATTTCCTACTAAGATCACTTCTTCTTAAACATATCTGTAATTTGAAGGAAAACTAATATATCTTGGATGACATCACAACCCCTAAAAATAGGGGAACAGCTTCGCTAATGACCAGCGAATTGTTCTAGACAACCGACTGTTGAGGCAAAGTGTGTGAAAATTACACAAATGGTGGTTGGTTTGAGGCCAGATAATAATAAAACTGGGAGGCTTTTTATAAACATTATTATTTTTTTTATAAACCTTTTGAAACTGTTTTAGAACTTGTATAAATACGATTCATAAGTTAGTATCAATTAGATTTAAATATTATTTTACAGTTGCAGTATTAAGGACCAGAAAGCTGACTTCCACATTAAATACCTTAGGTTAGGTTAGATCGTAGAGCTCATGCTGGGACCAAAGATCCCCCTTGGATAGTTGTAACCGTTGGTGCTTTGTGATCAATAAAAGTTTTAGATATGGACCCCATCGAAAGCTTTGAGCCTGCTTGTTAATATCAATTCCACTAACTTTGCCAGGTTCGCCGAAACTGCATATAACGAGATGTTTCAACCTCAATATGTCAAAAGCTCAACAGTTGAGAAGATAGTGTAAATTTCATATTTTTTTCATAATTATATTTCTCGGCATATTTCATTTGCGTTCAACACGATATCACCGCATGTGGGTCTCTAGGATAATGTCCAATCAAAACGTCTACCCTGGCGGTGAGATGAACCTTGCTAAGAATAAGTACTTGTAATGTAGAGGACCTCTTGCATTCCACTTTGGACAATAAGGATCTCGGAACCGCACAAGATTTGGTTTTTGACTATCGCTTGCCAAGCTCATGACAGGGCCATAGATTCAACGCTAGTCGCAAGAGAACAGCGGTTTACCGACTCGTTGCTACTTTGATGAAATAGGGATATATACCATTATATCAGTAAATTGTGCAGTCGTTGCATTCGTAGAGAAAGTTTATTTGGTTTAGCGTGAGTGCCCCTGAGAACAGGTAAATGTCACGCTCTTTGTACTAGAGTAACCTAGAACTTTATGTGTAGGGAATGGTTTACCATCAGCACAAACTGCTCATTCTGTTGATAACTTGAAGCTACCACATCCTAACCGCCTAACCGTTTTCTTCGCAAGGTCCAAACAAAAATTTTACCAAAAGTTCACAAAAATATATCAATGTCAAATACAATATCAGATTAGTGGCATATTTTCGCGCCCACACTCAAAATGCCAAGTCTGTACCATAAAATCGGAGTGCATAAAAAATGGCAGCCCGTTTAGTCTAGCGGATGCAATCTCTGCTCAATCAAAACATAAATCCGAAAATTGTGTAAATAAAATTTTAATTACACAAAACAGCGGAACCAGCAAAAATAAATTAAAATACCACCAACAGTAATTGAATACAAATTTTACTACCAATTCACCACACAGAACACACACACGCAAGCACGAGGTGGCAAGTATTTTGCTAAATATTCACCATAGCATATTTTTCGACTTTCATTTGCCACATTAATTACAAATGAACAAGCATTTACAAATTTACACACACCCACATACATGCACAAGCAATATATATGTATAAACACACTTCCGACTGTTCACTAATGGTTTTCAATATTTTCGCAACGCTTTTCATTTCAGTACGAGTACGGCCGCGCAACGCTCATAATCCCCCAAGCTTATCCCAACGACGCCGGAGTGTATGTGTTGACAGCGAAAAATCTAGCAGGCGAAGCATATAGTTCGTGTAACGTTGTCGTTAAAGGACGCCTGCCGAACGAGACATCCGACTCAGAGTTGGCCTCCGATATGGAACCGATTAAGCCCTCGGTGCAATTGCCACTGAAAGATGTGTCGATATTCGAGGGTAAACCAGTGCGTTTGGATTGTGTTATTGTCGGTCAACCGGAACCCGAAGTCATTTGGTATCACAATGAGCGACCAGTCAAAGAATCAGCCGATGTGCAGTTGCTTTTCCAAGGTGACCGCTGCTCGTTGATCATACAAGAAGTGTATCAAGAGGATGCGGGTAATTACAAAGTGGTGGCCATCAATTCAGCTGGTGAGGCGTCAAGCAGTTGCGAACTGAAAGTGACGCCACTAAATATTGCCGAGCCTGCGACACGCGCACAGAGCGAACGTCAGTCGGTGCCGAAGGAGACACTGCCGAAATTCGATAAGTTCCTAACCGATGTGCTGGCGGACGAAGGCGAAACGGTCGAGATGGAGGTGAGCGTAAGTGGTGATCAACCACTTACCGCGAAATGGTATCTAGCCAATAAGGAGTTGTGTGAAAGTGAGCGGCTTTCAATGAATGATAATACGGCGATCGGCGCCTTTAAATTGATATTGAAAAATGTCGTGTCCGACGATCGTGGCGTGTATACGGTGAAAGTTTCGAATAATACGGGTGATGCGAAGTGCTTCTCGCAATTGAACGTGAAGAGCGTGAATGCGCCCGAAAATCAACGCAGTCAACAAGTGGAACCTGTTGAAAAGTTTACTTGTCCAGAATTCAAAGAACTCTTCTCGGACAAACAAGCTTACGCCGACGATATGGTGAAGTTCGAGTGTATTGTGAAGGGCAAGCCGACACCCAAAGTGCATTGGTGCTTTAACGAACAGCCTGTACATGGGCACAACTTCCTCGTATCGACCAGTGGTGAAAGACAAGTTTTGACCATACAAAAGGCCAGCATTGATACTGTGGGTAAAATAAGTTGCATTGCCGAGAATGAGATTGGTAAAGCCACTTGTGCGGCTTATTTGAATTTACTTGGACCAGGCATGCAGTTGCAGTTACCCGCCACTAGTGATCTGCAGACATCCACGCAAGAACACAATACCGAATCGTCGCGTGTCACCATTAAGAAGCAGACCTTCACCACCACCTCCACGTCACAAATTAGCTCATTCGAAGGTAATATGCCGCAAACCGAGATCCATCATTCCTCGGCGCATATCGATCAGTCGCTAAAACAGCTGGGCGCACAACAGCCCGAAGTCATTGAGACACATCACTACCAGGAGCTGCACAAAAGCAAAGACATGTCAACGCCAAATGTACAACAAAAATCATTTACATTGGTACAATCGGCTGGCAATGGACCGAGTCAGCAGCCAGCTATAACCGGCACAGCTGGTGTGGCGGTGCCTGAATCACCGACGCGCCTACGCAAGCAAATAGCGCCACGTTTTACCACACCGCTGACGGGTAAGATTGTCGATCAGGGCACAGATGTGGCAATGGAGGCGATCTACGATGGTTTTCCCTCACCCGAAATCAAGGTGGAAAAGAATGGCGAACAACTGTTCGAAAATCAACGTTTGAAGATTGAAAATCGATGCAATCGCATCAGCATCGAGCTGAAGCAGGTGGGAGTGGCAGATGCGGGACGCTATGCAGTCACCGCCACAAATACAATGGGACAATCAACGAGCACTGCCGATCTAGTTGTGAAGAGTAAGTACCATTAAACGAGAACATATAAAACAAAACGGAAAAAAGAAAAACTAGAGCGAATTCAACGAAAGTTAAAAAAGAAAAAATATTTATAGAAAATGAAAAAAACATTAATGGCAAAGCCATTAATTAGAATTTCGCAAAAAACATGCAAATTAGACCAAAAATCTGCCGACAAATTTATGTACACTGTTGTTGAAAAATATTCAGGCGTTTATTTCTGCAGTGGCATTCAAATCAAAATAATTAGGAAACTCAATCGGATTAATTCAGATATTACAATGTTGGTGACTAAAGTTATATATTTAGTCTGAATTTTAGGTTAGATGGAAAGCTGCAAATTTCTTCAAGATTTATATTCTAATATTGTTAAATTCGCTACTACTTTCTCATGTAAATTTCTTGACAAGGAAGCAAGGCTAAAACATATTTAGTCTTCCTTCGTTTTTAAATATAAGGAGAAGGCTTAGGAGACTGTAATTCGCTTTAAAACAAAACTTATTGCAATGGAAATGCTATTCAGACTTTATTGAAGTTAGAATAGGGTTAGTTTGCCACTTCAATCAACTAGAACGAAGAGCATATACAATTTTTTGGCTTTGTATTTAAAAAAAAAAAAACTCTTCATAAACGCGGACACAGAAATTTTAGTAAAATACTCCGCTAGAAAAAAATAAAAGTAGAACTTAATTCCGATCGAGCGATTTATTAAAAAAAGTATCTAAAATAACCGAATAGTAAAGTTCAACCTCTAGAAGTTTTTCGAATAACTGAAAATTGGGAAAATTCGGAAAGCGGATTTAAGAAATGTTGATTTAACTAAATGTTCAAATGTTAGCATAACATAGTTGGCAGCTAATTCTAACACATGAGTAGGAATCTATATTGGGTATATAACTATATTCGAGCGGTTTGCCAAGAGATGGCATAAATTATTATTTATTCATTGTCTCAATATTCCCAGTGTACATTTATCGAACCAAATATCCGTGATGTCAGGGCGCTGTTTATGTTGGGAGCAGAGGGGCGTAATGGGTTATGAGCTTCTAAAACCTTGTGAAACCATTATACACCGACAACAACTCAACAATTTGAAGCTAGCGATTGTCGACCATCATGACAACGCTTGGCTTCATGTTACCGGACCGGTGAAAAACTATTTTTAAAACAGCCGCAGGAAAGTTTTGTCTCACCCGCCTTATAGCCCAGGCCTTGTTCCTTCTGGCTACCATTTGCTGCGGTCGATGCTGAACGCCTTGACTGGAATACAGTTCACATCAAAACAGGGTATCTAAAATTGGCTTCATTAATTTTTGGACGCTCCAAAGCCGTATGAAATCAAACATCAAAACAAGAAAAAACATTAACATCGTCAAATGAAAAAGTTTTCCCTACAAGCCGATCGTTCAGATTTAACTTTGTTTTCAACTAAATGATGAAGTATAGCATTTGCATGGCCATCAGTTTTGTCGTTGTGGTGGAAAACAGTATAGGAGTAAAGTATGAATACTTTAGCCACACAGTGTAATAGGTAGCCAACACGTCGATAAACATTTCAACAGCTCCTAACTGCTGGAGCAGCGCTAATGGCTTCTTTTTCTCAAGTGAATACTTGGGCGGGTGGAAGGAAAACAATTCAGGGCCACACGCATCAAATTTTGCACAATCAGCCAGCTGTGTAAAAAAACATGCAGCGTTAGAACTTTGAGCATTGCGCTACAACCGAAATCAATGCTCGGCAAGCACGGGCCCACACATACACGAACATATCATAGTGGCATCATGACGATCATCATCTTCTTCTACTCTTGGTTTCTTAAAAATGTTTATTTTATGAGGCGATTTGCCAAAAATTCAACATTTTTCCTTCGTCACTCGATGTGCTGCTAGGATGTTGGCGTTTGAAATAGGCATATATGGTATATGTATGTATGTGTGTATGTATATATATATGTGCGTGTGTTTATTAAATTAAGAGGAATAGCAAAGCGTAACAAACTTGAAATTCTCTGAATAACAGTCTGCAGTGCAGCATTTTCAGCATTTCATATTGAATTTAATGATTTTTGGCATTTTAAGACAAAATATAAGTGAATAACAAAAAAGAACCGCTAAAAAAAATATGTGAAGAAAAAAAACAACAAAAAATCATAAACCAAATGAATGACTTTTATTTGAGTGACGGCGGTGCAGCAGTTGTTGGCAATGGTGACGGGCTACACAGCGCATAATGTACTACCGAAGCGGTCACCATTGAAAATTATTTATTTTCTTTTGTATTTTTGAGCCATTTATGTTATACGCCGGTTGGTTCGCGCGGTTACCAAATAATGTATTTGGCTTTGCAAATATTTTATTTGTATTCTAAACAAAAATATTATATTAACGAAATTTCATAATTTTTACTGGCACAATAGAGCAGAAAAATAGAGTTGCCACCTGTTTTTTGATTGAAGAATTACATACAAAAGGCTAATTTTGCTGTTGCTTAGCTTTCTAAACAAGCTTTGTTTCAAAAATATTTTTTTGGAGTTGCCACCTAATAAATTAAAAATGTTGTGCATAAAAACTAAGCTGGAAATTTCTAATCTATAGAATATACTAAACAGTGAAGATTTCCAAAAGTTGGTTTTAAGTATGAGTTGAAATGATGCTGCCACTATTATGAAACACTTTATAGAAATTTAGAAATTTATTCGCAAATTCAAAAGATATATAAAATAGCACGAAGTTAGTACTTATAAGGTAGTATCACTCCTTTGTGGGGTTACCATCTGACTGGAAAATATAAAAATAAATATTTATTTTAAAATTCGAAACAAGCATGCTGGAAACCTTTCATTTGCATTTAAATGCTTCAATTTATTTCGAAAATATTTTTTATCAAAAACGAGAAAAAAAGTTCAAGGTCAAGTCCAAAATATCAGGAATTAATTTTCTTAAGGCCTATTATATGTAAGTTATTCGAGAACTAATATGACAAAATATCTCTATGTTTCGAATACTCGAAAATATAATGGATAATATGGGTAATTACTTCTTATTTGTGTCCACTGCAGTTTTAAGGATGATTTAGATCCCCACAGCAGTTCATTGAAAACTTTTGTACATTTATATTACTAAGCTAAAACTCAAATAAAACTGTTCAATAATATTGATAAGTAAACTTAAATTTTCTGTGAAGTTAAATCTTGAGAATTTTTAAAACTCAAATCAGTATCTCATTTTTGATCTTGAAAATTGTTTTCATATTTGTATTTAAAGTTTTAATATTTTGAAGACTTAGTACTAAAGTAATTTGTTTAGTTGAAAATGCCATAAGCTGTTGAATTAATTTTTAATTTCAATTTTAATAGAAACCATTTTCCCACCTGTCTTTGGGCGACGTCTGCAGGCGCAAGTCGTAAAACGGGGTGAAAAGATCATAATGGAAGTAGAAGTAACCGGTTTGCCGGAACCAACGGTAACCTGGATGAAAGACGATAAACCAATACAAGAAGCAGGAGTGTCACAGCATCGTCTCTTATCACAAGGCAACTCCTACAAGCTGATTATCGAGAAAGGTGAGTGGATAAGAGGATTAAAAGATTATGAAAATGAATCCGAATTTCATTAATTTGAAAAGCAGGACCAAAATATCGTTTTGTATGTAATATTTATATGTTATGTTACCTATATTTTGGAACATATTTTACATAATTATCAAAGTTATTCACCTTTAATTTTTCGTTGCCTACATTTAGGCAATTTTGTAAATATTTATCAAAGTCACATACCTTGAGTGTTGTTAAATTTCAAAATTTTAGGGTTTAAAATAGTTGTATCGGTTAACTTAATTTTACCAACAAATATGATTTTTTCTTAAATTATCGACTTTTTTTTACTGACTCTCTATATTACACGAGTTTTCGAGTTAATGTACAACTTTTAACATACAAATTTAGGACAATCTAGTGACTCGGGCAAATATATGGTGAAAGCCACTAATGCCGGCGGCGAGGCCAAAAGCATTGCCGATTGTGCGATATTGGAACCATCGCCAGAACGTCTACAGGAGGTTGTTAAGACTATTGTCTACGAAACGCCAGTTGATCTGAAAACCGAAGTAAGTCTGCATGTACATTCTTTCACAAAGTCTAAATAATTAAATGACAAGGAATTCACACACGAATTTCATACTGATTTTATTTTTTAAATTATTATTTATTACCTTAAATTAAAATATTGAACTTAATAAAACAGAAATAATGTCACCCTTTGCATTTGTATGCATAAAAATATTTACCAATATATAAAATAATATATAAAATAATTGGATTTATAAATAATATCGATTGATATTTAATATTACATATAATACATACGCATATATAAATTATTTTAAATTTATTGTAAACCTTTTTCTCTCATTGTTTTTTCGCCAACGTTACCAATAAAATTCAATTGTTCGATTTTCGACTCGCATTTTCGCTTAAAAAAAATGTCTGTCTATATCCAACTGCTTCTCTCATTGCTTTATGGGGTTTTATGTTGAAATCAAAAAAAAAACAAAAAAAAAACCATAAACCATCAACATACGAATTTCTGCATCAAAAACCATTTCACACGCATCCATTTAACACCAAAACCCAATCAACTGAAAAACCATGTGTTCAACTACCGTCACACAAACTAAAAATAACAACATCATTGAATGTCCAAATATCCATCGCTGACCAATCACCATCCAACACCTTTAGACCTTCGCTAAAGAGCCACCGTCCTTTGAAACGACACAGACCGATATTTCCACCGCATCCGATCTGCATGGCTTATCTGAGTCGAAAATAGTAACTGAGCATCGTTGCACCACCGAGGCAACAATGCGTCTAGAACACAAACAAGCGTACTTAGATCTGCCCACATTGAGCGAACGCCCGAAAACGCCAACCGCTGCGACTAACATTAGCACCAGCACTGAACTGCCCGATTGGCAGCACGTGAAATCGGTCTCGACCAACACCGATAGCACACGCTCTAAAACCGGCTCCACACAAACACCGCCGCAAGTACCGCCCAAACCCTATACAACATCTAACAATATTGCCCCAACCCCAACAACCCAGCAATCACAATTCCAATCCACGCTTAGCACAGAACTCGACGGCAGCTACAAAGGTGTAGGTGAAACGCCATTGCTAACATCAGCCACCACGACGACATCAACATCGAAGTACGAGAGCACGACGAGTGAGAAGAAATCCTCATCTTTCGATTTCTTTAAGAAAATCGAGAGTCAAGGTGGCACGCAACCAGCGCCACCTGGTGAAAGATATCAGAAACAAGAGGTTAATGCGGTCAACAAACGCATGACGCCACTAACGATCTCAAGACCGAGCGGTGCAACCGCACAATCGGCAACGCTTGAGGACGATCTCAAAAATTTAAATCTCATACCAGGTTCACCACCTGAAATATGCTTTATACCGAAGTTCGACGCCACAAATGGCAAGCCACAAATGATTAATGATCGTATTAAAATATTAGAGGCATCTCAACAATCACCGAAAGAGCCACCGACTGGCGGTGTACGTACATTACCGTTGCTGCCCGTCTCACAGACATTTAAGCATGAGTCCACCATGTCGAAGGAGGTCAAAGTTGAGTATGGGCAACCGATCATACGGCCAGCGGCTACATTGCCAGCACCACAGCAATTCACACGTTCACCTTCGCCTAAACCCTCCGCGGAGGGCGTAGCCATGTCAAAGTTGTGGATACCTAGTAATTTGAGCGGTTACGAGAGTGGTACTAGTGAGTTGGAACAAAGGTATAAAACAGAAACAGAGACCGATACGAAAATGGAGCAACGCGAGATTAGGGTACAGAAAGTGCCAACACCAGCGCCCGATTTGAGCGCACCATATCTCGTGAAAGAGATCAGTAAAGCGATTAATGTACCCACAACACCGCAGCGTGAGAAAACACCGTTAGATGATATACATTTAGTGCCCGGTTCACCACCAGAGATTTGTTTTGCGCCCAAACCGGAAGTTCGTCGTCAATCCTTGGTTGAGCACATGGAGAAAACGTTAGAGCAAAATCTGCAACAAGGCCCCTCAAAGGTATTGCCAATGTCAGTGCCTACACTCACACCAACAACGACGCCACAAATCGCCAAAACAACAACCACCTATAAGCCACCACCGCCAGTAATACCAACTAAACTGACGGTCGGTCAACCGTATGAGAGTGATTACGAAAGCGATCGTTGGAAGTATAGTGGCAGTGAATCGGATGAAGCCTCATTTCGACCGGTTGGCAAGAGTGTACCAGACGGTTTGGTTGGTACACCAACTGTACCCACAACTCATCACACATTCAAGACAAGCGGTTATGCAGCCGATACCGAAGATATTTCTAGTTTCCGTAAAATGGAATCGACCCATCAGGAGAGTCGTTCATTTTACGAATCAACTTCCAGTTCGAAATCATCACAACAGCTGCCGCAAGCGCCTATGATATCAGTGTTTAAAACTCCACCGCAGCAACCACAATACACACCACAATGTACACCAGCCCCGGCACCGGCGCCATCGCAGAGCTTCTACCAGCAGCCTCAATTGGAGAAGCAACCGCCAGCTCCCCTTTATTATAGCAGCAAGGAAGAGGGTGGTCACGAGAAACAGGAGTACTCGGACAAGAATGAGTACAGGCGTGAGGAGAAGGTTCGCTAGTTGTTGTTGTTGTTATTGATGTTGTTCTGTTGCTACCACCAATTTGTTTCTAACGTGCAACTTTTGATTTTTATTATACTTTTATTTATTGTATTTGAACATAGCATACGAGTATGGTATATATCGCATTTAATTAGTCTATTATACAATATATTTGTATATTTTGGTATTGGCACTGAGGGTTTCAGCAGAGAAGTGCGGGGTCTTTTGATTTGAATTTCATAGAAAGATAAACTGGGAATCCTTTGTTATTTGAACCCCACCGTTTTTAGAAATAGTTGTTTTAAAGTCTGAGACTTTCTCAAAACAAATTTCGGCAGATTACATCTGTTGCTAAAATAGTACTTGTTGTATTTGAGAGAGCTTACCCTTAGTCCTAGCGACCGCTCAACGACAATCCATATCCATGAATATCAAAACTACAAGACCCTGATAGTTTTAGTCATCATATATCCAGTTTTTATTAGAATATATTAAGTACTCACACTTTATATATTTATGATCCATTTCAGATTTTCTGATCTGAGCAGTATACTGATTACTATTTTAAGTCGTCAACTAGCAGATATTGTCCGTACAATCTGGTGCATTTGAAAAAAACTCGAAAACGGCGTTTTCAAATATAATTGAGTAATATAAATAGTTGAATTTTACCAAAATTTTGATTGTTTTTGCCTGTGAAAGTAGTAGATCATTGTATGGAAAACTATGTATATACAGAACATGCAGACAAAATTTGATAGTGATCGGATCGGATCATTTGTTTGCGAGTAATCACTCAAACAAGTTTGAAAAATTGCGTTTTGAGAAAAACGTGTTAAGAGATTAAATTGACTCTGTCTATAACTCAAAATATATTGTAAATTTTCATTTAAGATTTTAGTATTTTTTTTGGTAAATGTATAATCTATCGAAATATTAACCAACTCGAGTCACATCTCTAAAAGCAATATACCATATATTTTTGATTGATTTCCAAGCTTATAAAACATTGTGCTTTTAAACTGATCTGCAATGGAAGGCATTCCTCAGTAGTGAGAAAAACCGCTAAAAAACTAGTTCCTTAAAAAAGTTACTCTCAGAATTTTTTAAAGGTATACAGTACAACTGTAGTGTGTAAGGATACCTAATCAAGGGGGGAATTAGATTTAATTTTTTTTTGAATGCATCATACCTCAGAAATGTTGTGTCGATATTTCTTATGAACACATCAGATTTAATTCTACTTATGAACACATTGAAGCGTTTTACCCACAACTCAAATTTTCAAAGTCGTTGCTTTTCATTTCCTACTTATAAGCTACTTCACAGATTCTTTGAACTCTATTTTTGTACGTAATTTACACGGTAACGCCGGAAAGCTATTTTCAATTTTGTTAAATAAATTAGCCGATTAGATTTTCGTGTTCTAAAAAAATTTAAAATTGGAATTTGGAAAAACCATCTAGGTGTTACCTGGGAAAAGCTATTATCTAAAATGAATGAATCTCGTTTTTTCGATTTCGATTTTTAAATATTTTTTAGTAAAATTTTAACATAACATTCTTTGATTGTCATACTTTAATGTACCATTGGTATTAATAAAGAGATTTTAACTATGTCGTCACAAAAAATTCAAACCTACGCCTCCCTTAAAGCGGCGAAAACGCTTGCTATTCTTTCTCTAACTGATTCTCGTATACCATATGTGATATGCCCCAGTTGCTTGTTCTATTCACTACTCTATAAGATTAGAGGAATAGTAGAAAATTGCATACTAGGCCTTTGTTTTTTTGTTAAGCAATTAATGCAAACTTGTATTAAAACATAATAATTTGTTTAGTTTTTTCAGTGATTTATAGGTCCTTTTCACTACTCTACTAGATTCAATTCAGTGCCAATAAAAAAAAAGTTGCCAATTGTATGTAGCGCTAGTACTTACGGTCTTGTGTGTATGTATATACCAAAGTACACAGATTTGAATATAATTTTTGAAGCTGATTTTATTTTATTTGTATGGGTATACTGAAACGTTTTTTAATTATTAAAAAATCATTCAAATACTAAAGAAGCAGAATTTGATTAAAAATAACAAGTGAAAATCACATAAGTTCAGCTTCAGAAACATTTTATTGTTAAATACTATGTAATTTTTTATTTTATTTATAATTTTTTTCCTATTGTAAACTAGCAAATTTATATATTTTTATTTGCATTTAATGTGTTCAATAACATTAGAGAAGCTGTCATTAGCAAAAATTTTATTTGGTAGTATATATTTTACTTTTGTTATGTTATTTTATTTTATAATTAATTTTTTGCATTTGTAAATTATAATTGCTTTTCAATTTTGATTCATAATAATTTTTTTATTAGGAAAAATTATGTATAAGCTTCCCGTAATTGTTTTCAGGCGTTTAGCGTTCTGTGCTGCTACGTAACATCCGCAATCATTATCATCAATACTGCATTCATAGAGTTCATTGTAAAAAAAAAGCCTAAAATGCACTAAATACAATAAATCGGCGCTATTATCATAATTACTATATATAAAGTAGCCAATCAAACGCATCATCAAACACGCATTGCATTAAACAAGTATTATATAAGTATGATTAGTTTATGGTTACGCGCAAATGTATGCTACAGTAAGCAGTTGCACGCCTATAAATATGCCGCTTTAAGCAATTGGAGTCATTCGCGCATTCATTAATGTCTTATATTAAGCACTAATATATATATTAAATAAAATACATACATAAATATATAAAAGTAGTAATCCATCTATTTATAAATAAACTTGCATGGTTGGGAATGTCAAGAAGTCATCTCATGCACGTTACCATATGTTCTTAAAAGTTTATCATATCTCATAAATTTCATTATGAACATAATCGCATTTTATATTGGTATGAATTTCAATTATATTTAGTATATAAAAGTAAACTTGCTTAAGTACGCTGTTAGATCATATATCACTTAAAAGCAGTAACCAATTATCAGATCTCTAGAATTAATAAATATCAATAATGAGGACTATGTCAGGTCAAGCTAGGCTGATTTATTAAGTTTGATCTCTGCGATGGAGATTACACTTGAGCAGTTAAAGATCACTTCTTTGAACTACGAAAAAGTCAGAGTATTAATCTGAATCCACAAGCATCGACAAAACATCTTGAACCCATCAGAAAACTGCTGCAGTGATTATAGCTAGATCGAATTAATGACTAAAAGCATTAAATTTTTTTCAAGCTTAGACCGGCAAAAGCACATACCATATATAAATACAGAATAATTTGGACTGGATTAACGGTATTAGTAGATATTTGGCGCTTATAAATTTTGTTAGTTTTTTAACCGAACCTCTACACGCTCCTAGTAACCGACCTTGATAGTTAAAATTACCCCACCAGTTTTAACAATAGTAAGCTAATAGGATTCATACGATGCTTTTTCATATCAGAAATGTCCTTGAAAGTCTGATGTAGCTAACAGAGCGACTACTGAATTACCGATTTTACACAAAATTTAAATAGATGGACGGCATCAAGAGAGCATATGCATTATATTTAAGAAAGCTTAAACAAAAGAGTGTAAGCTTTCGCTTAAAAAATTGAGCTATTATGTTTTTACACAGCTTACATCGGAAAGGTGGAAGGTTTCTGAGGTTCAGTAACTATGAGTTAGTACGTAATTCAGTTTTGAGCTTTAACATACTGTATATTTCAGAAGTATAATTTTTTTTTAGCATTTTGCAAATCTTCAAATTAAAATTAAATATATTCATAACTCATTATTTGCATCGCTCTCACACGCTATTTACTCTTTCAATAATTATTATTTTTAGTTTCATTTTGATTGGTGTTTGTTACTTTTCGCCATTTTAAAAGCTCAGCTTATTACAAAACTTAGCATTACACTGATTATTAACCTTTATTTCTCTCAAATCATTTCACAGGACTACAAGAGCGTATCGAGCATGAGCAGCAGCTACTACAACGCCTCCAATATTAGCAATATAAGCAACATTAGCGCACCCAAATATCAGTCAGTGCCTTTGAAGCTACCAACACCAACAGTCACACCCGTACCGGCACAGCGTAAAACGCCAGCCGAATTCAGCGATTACAGCAGTGAAGTCGAGGAACGTTTCCGATCCGTCTCGCGCACACAAGAATCCGACAATGAGATCAAGGGCTACCGTGTCGTCTTTCCACCTACGCCAACACCAAAGTCTCACCTGACCAATGGACATAAATCGCCAGCAGTTGTGGTGACACCTTCGCCAATGGATTTCGAGCCAACACCGCCAGCGGTGAACACTTATCCGCGACAAAAGTTCGAACCAATCAAGAAGGAAGTACGGCATGAAATCAAGACCGAGTCCAAGGAGCAGAAACAATACTTCCAGCAACAAAAAACTCAACAACAACAACAGGTGTACAAGCCAAAGCCAGTCGCCGCAAAATTTATTGCTGCCACACAACAGCAACAACAGCAGCAGCCACAGCCGAGATATGAGCCACGCGCACAACCGGCGCTTTACTATAACGCCATTGCCGGCACACCATTGCATATGGCGAAAATGGCGACCGAAACAAAAAATGTTATGCATATGAAAGAATCATCTGAAACTTGCCAGCGCGTGGTGAATATGCAGCAGACCAAGCGCGTCATACACTTCGACAGCCAGAAGGAGCAACAGGAACGTCAAGTGAGTACACCACTCGAGCCCTTCCCCTATAGCCCATCGCCCAGTCGCTACACGCCAACACAGCAGACGCGTGTACCACCGCCACCCACACCGACTAAGTTCGTGCCAGGCGAATTCCGTGAGAGCGATTATGAAAGCGAAGTAGAGAATGCTAAAATAGGTCCTCTATGGATGCCACACGGTGAAAATGGTCCGCTACGTTTTAGGCATGTCGAACCGCCACAAACGGGACGTGCTTGCAGCGTGCCACGCGCTTACGAACGTGTACTCTCACCAATGGAATTCGATCGTGGTCCCGAAATGCCCACGAAAATAAAAGTGGACCCTAACGAATTGCGTTCTCAACGCGGTAGTAGTCTCAGCGCTACCGGTACTACGACCAGCCAGCGTACTCAATCGCTAAATCGTCACTCGTCCATGAAGAGCAGCACTAGCTCTAGCTATCAGCAACGTTATCAAACCTTGCAGCCTGATGCTACGGTTGTCGAGAAACGCTTTCCACGTGACGATATGAACTTGAAAGTCGGTTCTCCACCTAAATACGGTTACGTACAGTCACACATCGATCAACAGGGCAAACAGATGAATTCGACCTTTTTGCAAAAGTCACATCAGTTCATCAGTGACATCACCAGTGATCTGCAACAGAAGAGTAGTAAGACCACGAAAATATATAATGGCAGTGCTGAACCGAAAGTCATTACGCACTCCTTCCGACCGGGTTTCAAGCGTGCACCAAGCGAGGGTGACAACAAACCACAAGCCTATCGCGACGAATCACGCGTCTCGCAATACGGTAAGTACCGTAGATGAAGTGGCTCTCATGAGAGCTTGTCGTAGTTGTAGAGTTTTACATATAAGCCAACAATAATAGAAGTTATATTGCATTATGAGTACATCGATCGACAAAAGTATTCGTTCAAGAAAATTAAATAAATGGTCGTTTCGTAAACGATTTGATAGTCGAAATTTTGTTATTTAGTGGAAGATTTGGGACTAATGTTCGAATGAGAGAATCGTAGGATGGCTTTTCGTTTCATTGTACTGACCCTGTCTAGCTGTATAGAACTTGTATAGAATATATGGAAATGTTTGAATGAAAACCAAACGAGTTGATATAAGTTTCTAGATATTTATATCCTGAACAGAGTATATTTGGTTTGCCAAGATATTTGTAATATTTCGATGTAGCCATGTACGTATATATATGCGAACTTGTCCATCAGTTTTTGAGATATCGGTCAACAAAAAGCTGCTGATTTGACAGAACAGCCAAAGGCAACGGTGCAATCTCTAATGAAATTGTTCAGGTCGGGTCACTATTGCATATAGCTGTCATACAAACTGAACGATAGGAATCAAGTGCTTGTACAGAATACTTTTTCATTTGACGAGATATCTTCACCAAATTTGGAATGGGTTATTGGCCAAGGCAACGGTGTAATATCTGAAGAAATTGTTCAGATCGAGTCACTATAGCATATAGCTTTCATACGAACTGAACTATCAAAAAAATCCATAGTATTAACTTCGGTGGAACCGAAATTAATGTCTTTGCTAGTTTTTTATTTATATAGGCGAATACTTTTGTCTAATGGTGTATTTACTAAAACAAATTGGTATTTGAATTTAACAGTTTTTTTACAGTTTTCAAAATTCGAAATTAGCTTGCGAGTTTTAAGATTTTTCCCCCCAACTAACACATACAAATATTCACATACACATATTTACTCTTGTTCAAACCTGGAATGCTTCGTTCTGTTCCCTTTTTACATATTCTAAATTATTTCAAATTTTATTTAAATATCATATTATTATTTATGTTTATTTATTTATTTCCAAAAACGTGTTCTTTCTCTCTCTCACTGTGTAACCACAACCAACCAACCAACTGCCCCATCCAAAAATCTACGTGTCTGTCTACGTTTGTGTCCACAAAAAGGTACAAAATGTGTCGATCCCAACACCGGTCTAATTTATTTTAAATATGATTTTGGCTATGAATTCGGTATACTCTTCCCGGGCGAGGGTCATAAATTCGTAAGCAACCAATGGAATAGCTCGTCGTCAACACTGCCGCCGCGTCACGCCTCTGCTACACCCACGCAACAATTGTTACAAGGTGGTCGTAAATCACCATACCCCTTAAGTGGTGGCGATGGTGAGCTCGTCATACCGGTGCAACATGAACGCACCACTGCAGCCACACCGACGCGCTCATTCACCCCGACGCAACTCAGTGTACCGTATGCGCGACCAGCATCATCTCTGAGTGGTTATTACTCTGACACCGGCACTGCAAGTCGTCGTAGCCCAGCGCCGCCGGGTGTGCGCGGTGTCGGCGGTGGTGTAAGTGGTGTGCACAGACTCAAGAAACGTTATAGCCTACCTAACACACAAGTTATCGATATAAATATCGATCGTCTACATGATAATGAGCCATTGAATCGTCTAGCATATTTAAATACAGGTACTGATTACACACGAACGTGATCGCCTCACACCATTAGCTAGCTATCTCATTAGATCATCATATTCTCTCTGCTACTCGTATTACAAAATTACAAAAATGGATGTTGTTTTAACCAATTGTTGTTGTAACGTCTCAATCAATTCGCGCTGTTAGGCGCTTAATATGGAATGTCGCACTTTCTGGCAATCAGCAATTTGCATTATTTAAGCAATTACACTGACCGCTAAAAGTAATCAAACGCAGCACTTCTTTTCTCAAGCCAAACTTGCCTTAATGATGTCATACAACTACATATGTATACAAAAATGTATATATTTGAAAAAAAAATAGTCATTTCATTATTTCCTTGCTGAGAATTTTGCTCAAGTACACCGTTACCATTGTAATATACTCGTACTCTACATCATTATAATATTCATTTCACATCCACACCTTATAATATTTAACAAAAAATCGTCGCATTCTTTCCTCTCACTATCAGCTCGATGATTACCACCTTAAAATGCTTGCTGCAATGCTAGAAAAAACTATATTTGTTATTATATTTCTGAAAATCCTCATTGTATTATAAATGAGAATAATTTACTGTAATGTGATCCTGTGTGTTAGTCAGTTAAAGAAATACGTAGTTGTTCATAATCACATAGACATCGTATGATAATCGGTTATCGCTAGTATTAGTTGTAATATTGACAAATCCCAATTTCCTGGTAAACCAAATCCTTAAATTCTATTCAAGATCTGCGAAATATGTTATCCAAATTGATGTTGTAAAAATAGTTGTTGTCTTACCACAAAATAAAAGACACTATAGGCATGATTAATGTATTGAATCTATTATATAATAGATTTTTACTTGTACCCTTGTAAGTGAGCGGCAAAAGAATACATTTTAACCGAGTTGTGCGTTCTTTTGCAGCTCGCTTACATATATTAGTCCGATGTTGTTGCATTTGCCCGTAATTTTCTATTGAGTTTGTAGAATAGCTATTGCATGTTGTAATTTTTATACTCTTGCAACATGTTGCTACAGAGTTTTTTTTTGTTTTTTATTTCCATATATCGTGAATAAACTTTTTTTGTCATGACGCTTATCTTATTTGTAGATCTTAAAATAATTATTATTGATTTTATTCATTACTGCGAACAGTTTATGATTACTGTATATCATATTCCATAGAGTTTTTACTGTTAGAAAAAAATTTATTTCCTGATCAAATATGTGTTACTCAACTTATGGGGTTATCGCGACTTGCAATTAAGAAAACCGCGTTATTTCATGAAATTCTTTGATGAGGCTTTTTGTTTGATAATTAAACAAAAATAAAGTGAATTAAAAAAAATTAATGTACTAAAGAAACGGTGATCAATTTTTAAAATTTTGGAATCCCTTGATACCGTATTCGATCTCCAGGAAGACCTCCGAAAGAGCTGTCTGGCGGTGAGGAAGATTTTCCTGCTTCAAATTATCTCAAATCCAAATAGAAAAAAAAAAATGTATTATTTTTATATATGGATACAGGTAATAATCGAAAGACTAGTCATTTATATGATTTTTGACAAAATGGTGGCTTCCCAAATAAAGTAGTTTTTGTGAAAAAATTTACACTTTAGAGTGAATTAAAAAACCGGAAATATAATCAAAAATCTTATTACTTTTATTATTATCTGACCTATATAATATATAAGAATATCGTGTGAAAATTTCAAGTCAGCCGTTTTGTAACAATTTTCCTTATTGACTATGAGAGCAGCGTTTCGATAAAAACGTATTTAAGGTTTTCGGAGCCAAGTTAGAAAAGTCTTATTAATATTCTTATATCTCTGATAGTATTTTCAGTATCCACTTCAGATGCAATTTTCTCCCAGTCTTAGATTTTCTTTTCGTTGAAGGTGAGCCTTTAACTTTAACACATTCATGTACATTATTTTAGCAAATGTAAACAAGGTTTTTCGTTTGAATTCGAGACAGCGTTTCAAAAAAAATTGAAGCATAAAAATAAGAGTTCTCGAAGATAAGTTCTTTAAAATTCGTTGCTTTGGGGTGATATCTAGAAATTATATAACTCCTATATATTAAGATGGGTAAAAAAACAAAAATGTTCACTTGGTTTTCTAGCTGAGTAGCGAAGTAGGAAGGTCTCCTATATTCTAAGAGCTCATACTGGGAAATACATTTTTTGAGGTATAATATATACATATATGGTATAATTCCAATAAAATGTTTAATGTATAAAGTAAAAAAAAATATATATATGTCATTCCATCTAAAATTTACATATAAAAAAATGTTCGTGCAAAAAAATTGGTTTTGTGTTCTTTAAGGCAAAATATTGGAAACTTATTTTTTTATTTCGATTTGAAAAATTTTGGAGTTATGAATTTTCAATTTGAAAAATGTACAAAAAATTTATCATTATTATAAAAAACATTATTATTAGAAAAATATTTTTTCTGTACGAAAAATTTAAGTTTTGCCATTAAAACTCATTTAAGTAAAATGCCAAAAAACGATACAAGTAAATCAGCTTTATTAACATATTTGAATGATAAAAAACGCATTATTTATGCAAGTAAAAGATGTTAAGCTAAAATTAAAGGTTTTGCTGAACTGCAGTATTGATTATGTAAAAAATAGTGTCAAAATTGATTAGCGTCATATTATTAATTAGTACCGACAAATATTAGCAAACGAACTTGCAGTTCACGAAAAACTAATGCATAATTTCTATATAATACCTTGCACCAATGAAGTTTTGTTGTATATACCGAAACGCGGTACAATAACGTACCGTAACACGGTACAGTTGTACCTATTTATTGCTAAATGCGCTCGCTTAAAATTTTATGCAATATAACATATTATTTTTAATATTAAGATTTTTATTTCAATTTTTGCCACGCGTAAGCCAAACTGTTACTTTACGCTTCTCCGCCTGCATGCAGCTTGCGTTAAGCTTGTATTTTGTACCGTTTATTTTGCATAAATACAAAAACCAAAAATATTTGTTTATGCTCGTGCTTGCTAATCTGTGTTACAATAAGTGAATGCTACTTATAAAAAAATCTACTAAAGTTCATGTCGTAAGAGTCAAACTAATAACTTGCATTGAAAAAAAGACCAAACAAACAAAAAAAAAACAATATAAATTTTAAACAAATATCTCAAACAACTCACAGCAACAGAACTGCCATCGGATGTACCCGTTAACGCACACCTCAATCGCGATGATTACCCGAAGCGCGCGCCACAATTCATAACGGTAAGTATAGCCACAGCGAACTAATGTCATATAAATTTTATAGCAAGAGAAAAAATAAATAAATTCGCCGCTTTTTAACTTGCGCTCAGCCACTGAAAGAATATGCCGTTATGTTGGGTCAAATCGCACGCTTCGAGTGCATCGTGCAATCGCATCCACCAGCGAATGTGACATGGAGTCGTAACGGCGTCGCCTTACAGAACAACGCCAAGTATGCTATTGAGTACCGTAACGGTGTCTGTCGTTTGACCATACCACAGGCATATCCAGGTAAATATATATACATACACACTCTTATGATTAAGATACAAAATTTTCATCACATTCATCCACTCTACAGATGATGCCGGTGTCTACGCCTGCACCGCCACGAATCCTTTGGGCACAGCCACCACTTCCGGACAGCTACTCGTGCAAGCCAAGCGTTTATGAATTGATTACAAGGCGGTAAATTGAGAAAAAAATTCGACCAAGAGCACAGCGGAAAATGTGTGGGAGTTATCTTTAAATATAATTAATACGGAATATACTAAAGTTTTGCGGACTTTTCGTTATACTTTAAGCAGTTAGTGAAAAAAATGTGTTAATGTATTAATTGTGCCTCAAATTCATGCTCAACGCAGGCGCATGCGCACCGACACAGCCATAAAAGTTGGTGAACATGTATATGTGTATGTTTAATTTCTCTTCCTTGCACATGGAAAATTTCGAATTTATTTGCAGTGAAAAAATACTCAATCTATATACTTATACAAACATATACGAGCAGAGAAGCTATTGTATTACGCAGCTATTAAGCCGATTTGAAATTGATATAAATTTATATTTATGTGCCGAATTTGTCATTATTTATGCTTATATAACAATAGTATTACATGTGTTTTTATGATTATTATTACTATTATTTGAATAAATTATTCGTGAAACTTTGTTTTGAGAAAAGTACGTACATTTTTAAGGCTCTATATAATACCGCCCATCAGTTTAAACAGAGAAAAATATATTATATATTTGCAATTTATTCGAGATAAGAGAATATTTTTTAAGACTATAGCACTTGGTTCGCATACCATATACATAGTTTCTTAATCAGTGTTTCCCAACCAGGTTCTCAAAAAAATCCATTACTCAAATAAGAATAAATTGTTTGAGTTAAAACAAGAAAACCCGTTAATTTCGGCTGCAGCGAAGCTGTAGAACCCTTTAAGGAAGCATTGCTTTTAGCATAAAAGGGTATACAAAGATCTTTCCTTGATTTTGGTCAGTTTATATGACAGCTATATAGTATAGTGATACGATCTGAACAATATATTCGGATATTATAGATTTGTCGTGGATAATTTATGTCGAATGTCATTAAGATATATTGTCAAATAAAAAAGTTGCCCATACAAGGATTTGGTTTGAATAATAAAAAATCACAAAAAACGGCAGCATTTGCTAAGAGAAATAAGTGAGGAATATCCTAGAATATATTTCTCGCTCTAGCCGCTTTGCATTATTTGTTATTGCCAATAAAACAGAAAATAGAAATCCAACGAGTGTAGTCAAGGTTAAGTCCAAATTATGATTTACAAGAGTAGAAGTTAATTCGTAACCACTCGAGAATACCAGATTAACATACAGAAGAAGCTGAGCTAACACCGAACTTTTTGAGAAATTTTAATAAACACAACGAATTTTTTCCCATTATGACAATACAAAAATATATCCTTTGTTTCGAAAACTATTTTAGAATAGAATATTATTCCAAATTTTCATAGGCATATATATTTAAAATTTCAGTCTCTGACGAAAAGCGCTAGAAACAATCTTAAAAAAGCTTTTAAGCTTCAGAAAATCTTTTTGAAATTTTTAACGCCAACGTTTTTTTAAGGTAGCCTACACCCTCAACGCCATCTGTCTTTAAATTTTAATTATGATATTTCTGGAAGAGCTTTTATTTCGTAAGCTCTGATAGATGCCGCCACAGTTCATAAAATGAGAATTTTCTAATAAGCAAAACAACAACAATGACACATTAGCAAGTAGTTTTGTTGTGGTTTAAAAATATTGTACCTCTCGCAGGTGTTTATTCGGATCCATTAATTTTCGAAAGCTTTCACACACAGGGGAAATTCATAAACAGCTAATTTGCATACATAGAGCACCGTCGTTCGAAAAACATTTAGACGCCCACGAAATGTATATTTGTATTCTCTTTGTTTGCCGCTGGCACTTTGCCATAGAATAATTGGCAAAATCTTGTGAAACTATTATTTTATTGTTTTGACAAGTTGAACTCTCGCTTTAGCACATACTTGCAGGCCAGGCGAGCAACCCGCGCAGGAAACGTTTTCATATGAGTTTTTCAGTTGGCACGAAAAATAGATACTTAGGTCCACTGCATGACACGTGCCGTGAAAAATCAATTGTCAGCGGGTATTTAGTGGCAACCCATTTATCATTACGAAACTACGAAAACAAATTCCACAGAAATTTTAGATCTTAACGCTGCTTACTGAATATGCTGTATGTATGTATGATAATATAGGATTATATGCTTTCAAACCACTTCAAAGATATTGTTTGCGGGGTTTTGGGCGCTTTGACGTCGGTTTTTTTAAGGTAAGGTAGAGTTATTGTGAACAAAAATACTTATAAAATAATTATAATGAAACAGCTCATTATAGTAGTATCATTAAAAGCTTAGGCCGTCTAAAATTATGCTAAAAATCGGCAGGTGTCGCACTAAATTAGTTATTTCTTATCTCTGAGTGTATTTTGTTCATGAAAAGGATATAGTAGGTTTAATTGGATTCATTGAAAGCTCCAAATTAGTCTTCTCTTACGAAGTTTATTTACCTTTGCTTTAAAGCAGATATCTTGTTTGTCTCCTGAACATCGGAACCAATGTTTTATTTACTATCCCAATTGCTAGTGAACTTTACTAAGGTATTCTTTATTTTGGTAATGTAGTCTTATTATTCGAAAACTACAATATTGTTTCAAAAATTTACTAACTCATTATCAATGAAACCCTATTCATGGTGTTTATTATACTCTGAACAGAGTACATATATTACATTTACCACAAAGCTTGTACAACACATAAAAAAACTTCGGGAATCCTATTAAGTATATACATAATTTTATATGTATATAAATGATAAGCGTGAAGAGCTCCGTCGATTTAGTTATGCCCGTCTGATGGTCTGTTCGTCCTTCTTTCTATATATACGCGAACTAGTCCCTAGGTTTTTAAAATACTCATCGATCTGAAATTCTGCATACTTCCTTTTCTCTCCAAGCCGATATCGCGCCACCTTAGGATGTAGCTGTCATACAAACTCAAAGACCAAAATCAAGGCCTTATATAGGGAAACTTTTTTATTTAACGAGATATCTTCACAAAATTTTACATGGAGTATTGTCTAGGCCAACGGTGCAATCTTCGAAAAAAATTTATGTATTCTGGTAAGGAAACATTTTAATTTGTGAAGCTAGTTTCGGCAACCGAAGTTAACATTTTTTCTTATTATTATTATTATTTTTTTTTGTTGTGTAATCGGACCAGTTTTCTAAGGATCAATTTATATATATTAAAGCCTGAGTAACTTGGAAAATAGTGATTTCTACCTGTCCCTCTCTTTGGCGAATGATTTTGCTGGTGAAAGGTCGGCCTGTCCTAAAAGTCAACTGTCCTAGTCTTTTGCCAATAGGCCGTGAGATTAGCTACAACATGACAACAAGTCAGCGAACAAAATGGTGCATATTTGTCCTAATTCTAATCATTTTAACTATGATTAATAAAACATTCAATTTAATGCAAAAATAATAGATTTCTATTTACTAGATCTATATTTGGCCCCACTCGAACTTAGCCTTTCCTTAAATGCTCGATACTTATTTCCACCACGCTTTTAAAATGCAATAAAAAATATGTCATTCAAATCAATTATTTTCGTTAATTTTTAATCAACCTTGACTTGTTATACTCTAACGCCAAAATCTATCGCAATCAGCTTGCAATAACTGACAATTTGCACTGACACCCAAAATATTTAATTTTACAAATCGAGAATAATTATCGTTAGCGAATAATTTGACATGATTAACGCCCTTGAAGTTAGACAAAATCTTCAATGCACTTGCCTACACTAATACTTATTATAGGTCTAACTGAATATTAATATAAACATATAATATGTATATAAATTAATCTAGTAGTCACTACAACAATGAGCAATCAGCCAGAACGCCAACATTCGCATTCGCTCATCATCACGTACGCTTAGTTGAAATCCTTGACATTGCTGACCATCGACGGATGTCATTCCACTTTGCGGTTTATTTTGATATTTTCCTTTTTGGCGGAGGTTGCTTAGATATTTTGTGTTGCACTGCAGACGGCATGCAAAAAACAAACACACACACTCACACAAAGCTGCGAATGCAGTTGTTTATTTGCGCGTAGTGTAATTTTAGACATTTTAACTACAACGAAATTTCACAGCGTCTCAGTCGTGGCAAAAGATATAAAATAGAATTGTTTATCTGTATTTTATCTGCAGGAAATTTTCGTTTTTTTCGCTTTGCCGTATTTCGTGTGAGTGCTGGCATTGTCTGATATACTGTTGGTGCCTGCGTGAGACACTGTTCTTCATCGCTGACACACTTATATGTATTTAAATTTAGCAGCGCCGAGTTGAACGTATACCATCGGACAGTAAACAAGAAAATTCACATTGCATTACATTAAAAACAGAAATGAGCAGCCTAAATTAATTTTTTTTAATGTTTCTTTTTTTCTTATGTTTTAATGTAATGTGCCAAGTGCTTCGTGCGATAATTTATGCCTGCAACGTATGCGCAAAATGCGTTCCAAGTTAGTAGGGTTAATTTCGAAATTATACTAGCTGTGTTCGATTCGCCAATTCTCTGTAATCAATGCTGGCTAACTTTGGGTGCTGCTCGCTTGTCAAAAAGTTTGCATGTGGAAGCAACAAAAAAGTTAGCGAGTTGCAAAAGAGTATACGGATAACTCATTAAGGGATTATATGCACTTGCCAGTCAGAAAAAGTTTTGTGATTTTTTTTGAAGAAACTCTTTATTTAATCAATAAATAAAAAACTGCATTTATAGAATTTAATCTACTTTAATTATCGGGGTTTCATAAATTTTTACGGTTCCCTTAATCCTGTAATTCATCTTCAGTAGAACTTCCAAAAAAAGGTGTCTGAAGGTGAGAAAGATTTTTCTGCTTAAGATTATTTCAAATCTCAAAGTCGAAGAATATACGAAAAGTTCATGCGACTAGTCAATGTTAATATTTTTGACAAAATGGCGGCTGCCCAAAAAATTTGTTTTTGTGAAAAAGTTTACACTTCAGAGTGACCAAAATTATTAAGAAAGTCGTATGAAAACTTCAAGCTTTCAAGAAAACTACATTTAAAGTTTACGGCGCCATAAGTTAAAAAAAAATCTTACAAATCATCAACTTCAAATTTTTTGAACTAATTTTTAAATATATGTTCAGTCATATGCATCGACTGTGCAAATAAAAAAATCGATTTTGTGGAAATTCCGAAGTAGATATAAAAGCGATATAGACGCCGCTACTTTGTCAATATTCATTTATATCAGTTGGTTGTTCGATTCACCAAAACGTTGTTAAAGTAACTTAAAAAAACTGAGGTAAAATTCGAACTATCTTGAAAAAAACTTATTCGAAACTCAAAAATATGCTTCAAGCATTTACCAAAATCGAAGGCAGCCTAACCTTCAGAGTGGACGCTGAAAGCTGAACCGAGCGTAAAGCTGATTTCGATCAGCGCTGATCGATTTTGGCTATCGCAGAGTTCATACGAGATTTAGCGCTGAATTCCGCGCTTACTTTGCTATCATACTTTTTTTTAATTTTATTTTTCGTATAATAATACGTAGATAAAAATAAAATTAAGTGGGTGGGGATTAGAGAAGATATATTTTGGAAATCGTTTCATTATGCCTTAAATATAAATTTTTTATTTCCTCAATGCTATTAT